GTGCATACTGTATCACACTTATTTTACTATGCTTGGGAGAACATTTCAATACCTAAAAGCTGATTGACAACTTTCTCTGGAGGAAATTCTCAGGATATCTGCCCCAGAAGCTTGTAATTCTCACAATAATTGAAGGTTAGGGACACACACGCAAGCATAGATCTGAAGCTTGCAGCTGAAGCGAGATATGAGGAGTCCAAGGCTTGGGAAAAATGTATCTCACACACAATTAAGAACAAACCACATGCTCGGTGCATGGAGGTCCTGACATGTACCATCATGGTGTCTCATTAAGTGTGCTAGAATCATTTAAAAAAAAAAGAAAAACTACTGGAAGCTGCTTCCTGTCATGCTTGTGTGCAGCAATGTCACACTCATTACGAGAGAAAGGACTTCAAAGCAGATGGGCGAGCACGATTAACTGAGCCTGGAAAGGCTGCAAGAATGTATGTACAGCCAAGATATAACCAGCCATCTGAGGTTCAGCCAATAAGATAAAGAGAGAAAAAAACAGAAACACAGCTTTTGGATTGATGGGGAATTCAAAATGAAAAGTGGTTTTATATTTAATCAGAGGGAAACACTGACTGTACGCAGGACGCTCTGTTTACAGGTGCACCAAGATTTTCTTAAATGAAGATGAGAAGTATGAACTGTAGACTTCAGCGCCTTTCACATATACACTCTTATGCACTCTTAACAGTTTTTAGACATTGTTAAAGGGATATTCAGGTGTAAAATTAAGATAGGGTTAAACACACTGTAACACTAAGTTAGACACCCCGTCAAGAGATGAATGTCACCGACCACTTGCTTCTCTAGTTATCCCAACTTTGGTAATGAACGCACGACAGCAATACACAGCGGTCTGAGGAGCCATAAACAAACCTCAACCAAAACGCCACTCTATAGCCACAAATAACTCTCAGAACAGCATCTAACTTCATCAACAGTACCTATAGGGTCCCAGCCATAGTACTAGCCACCAAACATCTTTTTAACTGCCTAAACACAACTCACCTACTCTCTTCCAGCAGCCGCTTGTTTGTAGTAGAGACCTCAAGCGAGTCCATCAACTGCTGCGGGGTGACGCAGCTCAAGGAAGAACATTTATGATCATTTCTTTATCATTTCCTTAAAGTAATAATCATTATATTAATCATTTTGCACTGCAGACATGGTAGTTCTCCTGCCTTAGCGGCTCAGTCTGATTACATTTCCATGAAAAATTATCATAAATGTTCTTCCTTGAGCTGTGTCACCCCGCAGCAGTCGATGGACTTGCCCGAGGTCTCGCTACAAACAAGCGGCTGCTGGAAGAAAGAAATTAGGCAAAGTTAAAAAGATGTTTGGTGGCTAGTCCTATGGCGGGGACCCTATATGTACTGTTGATGAAGTTAGGTGCTGTTCTGCACATTATTTGTGGATATAGAGTGGTGTTTTGGTTAAGCGTGCGGCTCCTGGGACTGCTGTGTATTGCCATCATGCGGTCGTCACTAAAGTTGGTATAACTAGAGAAGCAAACGGTCAGCAACATTAATCTCTTTACGCGGTGTCTAACTCGGTGTTGGGTGTGTTTGACCCTAACTTAATTTTACACCAGAATATCCCTTTAAGATCTGGTGAATTTTTCATCGTTTTATGCAGACTTTTTCCTTCTGGCCCTCTGGCGTATAAAAAAGTTTGCATGACGTCAGGGTAAGCGGACGTAGGTTAACAAAGTTGATAACAAAAGTCTTTTTTATTAAATTTTTTTGTTAAGGATTTCGTGAGATAAATTTATATGCGCTACATTTGAGAATAATGAAAAACATCATTTTTATGTGTGTGTCTGTAGAAATAAAAGGAGGATTTCATAAGCGGCCTTGTGTAGCTGTTACCTTCACCTCATTTGCTTGCACAGTGAACAAATGCAAGTGAAAATAATTATGGGAACACTGCAGACTTGATTCACCTAAAAAAAAAAAAGTCTCACCATCTGTTCTTCTCAAGGTGGAAATTACAGAAGTGAAAAACTTCCCTCTCTGTGGAATTAATTAGAAAATCTGCAGAGACATTTTTGTCAATTTGTCTTGTACTGTTAATTTATAGGATGGCTAGACAACAGCACATATGAGCAGTGTTGTAAAAATCTGTATCCTTGTAGCTGGACACTGGAGAAATCTCCTTCAATTAAACACCATAGATCACAGCCACGCTTTTAATTCTGCTCCTGGAACTAATATGGAGAAAATCACTTTTTCTTAATGAGTAATTTTAATTTTCATCTTTACTTAGGGGGCCTCATTGAGCTTGTTAATTTCACCTTTGAAGGAGTTTAGATATATGGTGGCCTGTGACGGTTGTAAATGAGTCTTTCCTGTACTTGAAAGAATAAAGGAAAAAACTGAAATGTTATATGTGATTAATTAAAATTACATATCATGTAGTGTAATCTTAATAAGAAACGGCATATTCTAATGGTATAAATTTAACATTGGCATAAGGTATTACAGTAAATAAAATGAGAGACAATCAATAATACAACTTTATATGCCTCTGTGACAAAATAAAACCTTCTTTTAATCAACTGCAGCTTTAAAAGGGTAGTTTCCTGCATTCAAAAGATAAAAATTTTAGCACTAACTCACAGTGATCTCTGATTAATGAGTAAACTAAAGATTAAAGGATTAAATGTTGCACCTTCACTAGTAGGGAAAAATATTTTTCTGTCAGAAAAACATAATTTCATTACTGCAGGCCCCAAATGCTGTTCAACTGTTGCACCTAAGCTGCAGTACAGCCACCTGCCACTAGCTGGAGCTGCAGCTCTGGTCAATTGCGACTGCCACAAAACCATAATGCTCAACCCAGATGTAGGTGGCAGAAGGCAATTTTAGTGAGGCACAGTTTGGGAGTATTTTTTTATTTTTGAAATGGTACGCTAACTTTTGTCCCGCTTAAAATTATGTAGAACTACTTGCTTTGTGTAATGCATAACCAACACAAGCATGTGAGCACTTACCTGCAAGGAGAACCTAAGGCTGGTGGTGCTAGCTCCGCTAATGTTAGCTACACTCTGTAATCTACCTTGTAATCTAATCTAACTCTTTTCTGTTACCAAAATGCAAGAGACTAACCTTTTTACCAGGGAGACTATCAGCAACAGGTCAACATAACAAATCAGCTTCAGAAACCAGAGATGCAAGAAATTCAAAGTGTGAAAGAGGTTCTTGTTATCTATTTGGAGATGCTAATGTAGTTACAATTAAAGTTGATTGAGAGATGTAATAAAAAGTAGTGAACAGAAGAACTGTTTCCTATTGATTAATAGATACTTTATTGGTATAGTTATTTGAGCAGATACCCTGAAACTAGCTGACTTGATGCAGTTTGTGTGTCTGTATCCAATAATGGCCCAAAAACAACCAAAATAATTTAAAAAGTCATGTGTCAAGAGTTGGGAAAAGTTACCTTTTCCATCAACAAGATGACTCAAATGGTACCTTTGCAGTGAAGAACAATCAAAGCCAGAGTGATACCATGTTGATATTGCTGGTAGACTGTAACAAAGTTCAGTTTTTAATAAGCATTTTGGTCCTTCCCTCCTTCCTACATGGCTAGAAAAAAAGGTGCTTTCAATCTGGTATGTTAGAATAAAACTCTAAGTTGATTTCTTTAAGAGCCAGGCGAGGGTTAAAATCAGGTAGAGGGTCAAACCAGGTAAAAGAAAATCCAATAAGAGGCCAGGCAGAAAATCATCAAACTGCGGGTCAGGCTGAGGGTCGGACAGACAATGAAGGTTTGAAAGCCAGTTTGATGCACACTGGACAGTCTAACAAAGAAGAATGTGAAGTGGAGATAGACAGGGATACAGACTGCAGAATGAAAAGTGGAGACACGTTGGTTTATACAGACAGTTTCACTCTACTCCCAAAAGAATATACACATAATATCAAGAAAGGACAGACCAATACTTGTAATGATTGTTTTGATTCAATTTAGTCATCCTCAACCCAGGTAGAGCATCACCTGATGATTAGAGTTCATTTTGGGTGCACTTCAGGTAATGAAGGCGAGGTACACAAATCAAGCCAGACAGGAGGCTCTTAGCCTCAGGTTGATTTTTTAAGGTCATCTTTGACAACACTGACGTTCTCTGTTCTGATCAGTTCAGATGAGGAGAAGCAAAGTTTTGGCCACATCTACCTTAAAAGGACGCATGTAGACCGAGAGCAGTGTCCTTATGGAGTGTAAGGGAAAAGCAAGGGGGAAAAGCAATGAGTCAATTATATTGATAAATTGCACCTTTGTCAAGTCAGGCAACTTGATTTTTTTCCTTTTTTTTCCCTTTTAAAAAAAAAAAAAAAACAGTTCATGCAGCGAGACTGTTTGCTTTTTGATGCATTTTTCAGCTGTAAGTCTTTCTCTTCCCTGCTTCTTTGAGAGCCAAACCTACTAACTCTATGATGGTAAACTGCTTGTGTAGTTCTTATTATTGACTGGGATCCACTATCATATTATCAATAATATCCTGTAAAGTTATACAATCAACAAGTTTAGCACTGCAATTATTGAAGCAAAAATTCATTCAGTCTCGAGTTATTTAGTAGCTAACCCTTTCTCTAAGGCTCCAGTATTGGCATGTGTCACACAGGAGGGAGCTGCTGCTGCTGCACACAGGGATAATAGCGAGTCTATGTATGGAGAACTGCAGCTATATCCAACATCTACATACTGTAAATTCTTATCAAGAGCCATATAAGGCTATAAACACTGGTGTAGCTCTGGGTCTCCATCTGGTAAAGATGTCCAAGTAGTGGTTGAAACTGCTGCTGAGGGATTTGACAGAGTTACTATGGTGATGTGGTGATTCAATTTACTGGCACAGTGACTCGGACAAAAATTAATTAATTTCTATTTCCACTTTCACGTACTTTGTCTTCGGCACTGTTTGCACAGAAAAATCTCACCACTCAAACTGCTGTGCCCAACGTAATACTCATGACATCAGCCTTTCCAACAGCCACGCAATCGTGCGTCGTACAGCTATTTTTACTCCTGAAAGCTCTTTTTTTAGCAGGGGATGCACACGTGCTTTCGACGTTGATTGATAATACGATATAAGAGGATGGAGACAGCGACAGATTGAAGTACTCGTCTGTCTTTTTTCAAAGCTGCCGTAGTATCAGTGCGCAATTGCGCAGCCAGGAAACCCTGCGGAGACAAACGGGGAGCTCGAAAAACTACCGCAGCGCGTCACTGGAAGAAACCCCTTGTTGTGATCACATTCCCATGAAGAGAAATCCAAATTTCACGCATGTTTATCAGGTGTGGATCCTCTGTATGAATTCCCCGCCTGCTAATCGTGGACACCGTTGGAGGGACGCGCACTGAAGGTATTTGATTTTAGGAGAAAGTGAGCGTTGCAACGGATAGAGATGTAGTAGCTGCAACTCATGATGCCAGTTTGCATCTGGACTGCGGATGCACTCAGCAAAAGTCTGGATTTGTAAAAGGGGGAACCATGGACGCAGCGGACGTAGCCGCTTCCGTGTTGGTTTTGGGGATTATTATCGTGTCACTGCTGTCCAACGTTGTGGTGCTGATCTGCTTTCTGTACAACCCGGAGATCCGTAAACAGGTACCCGGCCTGTTTATCCTAAACCTGACGTGTTGCAACCTGTTGCTAAGCGTGTCCAACATGCCTACAACTCTGGTCGGGCTCATCACCACGGGACACCCCGGAGGCAGCAGTTTCTGCCAGGTTGTGGGTTTCCTCGACACTTTTCTTACTACGAACTCCATGCTCAGCATGGCAGCTCTCAGCATCGATAGGTGGGTGGCAGTGGTATTCCCACTGAGCTATCACTCCAGGATCCGGCACCGGGATGCTGTGATTGCACTTGGATACACGTGGATACACTCACTTTGTTTCTCCACCGTGGCCACCTGCCGCTCCTGGGTCGGGTACCATCACCTTTACGCATCATGCACCCTCTGCAACGTGAGGGCGAAAGGAGCCGGGATGCAGTTCATCCTTTTCACCGTGGTCCTGCACTCTCTGACTTTCCTCCTCGCGCTCTTGGTGATGTGTGTAACCTACCTGAAAGTGCTCAAAGTTGCGAGGTTTCACTGTAAACGCATCGACGTGATTACAATGCAGACACTGGTGCTGCTTGTGGATATCCATCCCAGGTAACCATTACAGACGCGTTCACTTTGACTCCTTTGTTCATTGTAATGCATTCCCAGTACAATTTTGTTGGCTATTTGTCTCGGTTTGCAGTTTTTTTTCCCTCTTAAAGTATGTAAGGGGTAGTATTGTGGAAAAAAAATGTTCTGTAGGCAAAAAACTGGAACAGTCAGAGAAGCTGTGCTGAGTGTGTTTCATCTAAAGGATAAGGAGATGGTGGTGGATGTGTTTCTTTGCATTATCAACAGACAGTACTGAATCAAGAAGTAAACTGCAAACACTTTCCTGGCTTAAAAACGTGTTATTTCCTTTGTTGTTGTTGTTTTTAATTGGAATTGAAAAAGTTCATTTGAAAAAGAAGGTGAAAATTTCACCATGGATTGGCACAAATGATTCAGATTTTATTAACCAATGTACAATAGTAGAATTTGATTACATAGGATACATCATCCTCCAAGCAAACATCTCGAGAGCATAGCTTCCCATCTTAACACATAAATGTAAAGCTAAAATGTTTTAAATGGGGGTGTTTTGTGTTTTCTATAGTGGGCTGAGTTTAATGAATATTCACATTTTCCACATATTTCCTCTGTGGACTTCTTTATCATGTCTTTGTGTCTGTGATGCTGCGCCCTGGGGAGATAATGGTACCTGTGTGCTCTTGCAGCGTGCGCCAGAAATGTCTGGATGAGCAGAAGCGCAGGAGGCTGAGGGCGACCAAGAAGATCAGCACATTCATCGGCACGTTTGTGGTGTGCTTCAGCCCTTACGTCATTACAAGGTGAGAGGATATTTCTAATCGTGTGCATTTGTTTGTGGTGTATGTGTGGGGCTGTATAACATCATTCATCATCAAAATTACTACAGGTTTTCTGCTTGTTTTCAAGCCTTTCAAACACAAAATTAAAATGAAAAAGTTTAACTCAGTTTGTTGCACAGTTTGTGTTTTATGCTGCACAAAAAGTGTAAAATGATCATCATTCAGTTAAACAGGTAGAATAGTTTTCCCAAGACTGACAGAGGTACTCTGTTTTTTTACCTGTGTGGTAAACAATGGACAACATGCCAGCTCTCCACAAGTGAAACAAAGAAATTTAAAGCTCTCCTTACTGACTGGCAGCTGTTAAATCATTAAGCCCACATCTTCAATGGGACATGAGCGAAAATATAAGTATACATTTTTCCAAAAACAGTCTGTGTCATTTAATTGAGTTCTCATCCTGGTATTTTGCATTCAAGTGTTTAATTAGGCTGTTGCTCTACAAAAACGCAATGAGTGACAGGTCTGCAGAGATGCCTGCACTCTTTTAGTAGAGGATGATGGCGAGATAGAGTTGGGCAGTATGGCAGTGTATACTGTGCGCGGTATAAAGTGTCTACCGGTAGAAATTTTGGTATACCGTTTATACCAGAGAGAGAGAGAGCAGATTCTGCTGCATACCTCTGAGTCAGCGTGTAGTTGTCTGCGCTCGCTAACAGGAAACCCGTAGCGCGTCCATTTGGGTGCGTTTCTGTATATTCACCAGCGTGTCGTGCAGAGTTTGTTCGCTCTGTTTGATTGGTCAGGTTTGGGTGCGCTCCCTATAATCACCAGCATGTCCAGCAGACTGCTTGGCATAGTCTGTTATGTTATGGTTATGTTTAAGCTATTAAATGAATTTACAGGGGGAAACAACATACCGTGATATGAAATCATTCATACCGTGATTTAAGTTTTTGTTCATACCGCCCAACACTATGGCGAGAGGATACATAACAAACACCAGACAAGTCATTCAACTTCTCATGACTTAGTAGTTGTTTAAATGAAGACAAGATGATGTTATATCATGCATTTTATCAACCTGAGGGAACCTTTCCAATCTAAGAGTTAGATATCTGTTTTGGTAAGTGGAAAGGCAAGATATCAAGATCATCCACAGACACGGGCAAGATGTCAGTGCCAGATGCAGGGGGGTACTTTGGCTCTACTTATGGAGGAGTCAGGGGCACATTGTCCACATTTCTTTATGTACAATCAGTGTTTTTTTACTTACTTCACTGTGACCGCACATCAGCTTATCCCTTGAATACAGACGATGATGATTATATTCAGTGCTGCCTTGGTGTCCACTGACAAATTAAGAGATTTCTAACTGCTTCTTCTTCCTGGTGTCAAAGCTAATTGCTTCTGCACACAGTTGTAATCCTTGTCACTGCTCCTCAGTCACTGGCAGGAAGAGAGGGACAGACACAGAGAGAGATAACAAATGAGTCAGTGATGGTATCATTGGCTCTCATTAGTACTAGCCCCAGTGTCAGCGGTGGCAACCTGTCAGAAGCTGTTAGAACAGTGGTATGGAAATAGAAAGGAGGCGTAGTAGGCGCTGTGTGGTGTTAGATTTGAGGATACTGCACTAATTAAGAAGACAAGCAGCAGAGCGGTGAGCCTGTTGGTTTTATTTCGTCTTGGGATATGATACAGATTAGACACAAAATTTCAATCATGAAGTCCTGAAGCAAGAAAAGCCCTGTTAGTTTATGACACAGTGATGATATTTCAGTGAAGTGCAATGATGGCATTTTTACAGTGTAATAGCATATGAGGAGAGGGGCTATTTGCTTTACATTTCTTCCACTCCAATTACACTGATCTAAGATTTGGCTCTCTTTTCTATTTTTGTGCTAACTATGTGACTGTTGCTCTCCTTTTTACTTGATTTGAGGTAGACTCGTCGAGCTCTTTGCCCCAGGGCCCATAAGCCCTCACTGGGGTGTGTTGTCGAAATGTTTGGCCTACAGCAAGGCAGCGAGCGACCCGTTTGTCTACTCCCTGCTCCGTCACCAGTACAGGAAGACGTGCAGCCTGCTGGCTAACAAAGTCCTCAAGAGGAGTCAGCTCAACTCATCTTCCCTCAGGATGGAGAGCAACACAGGGAGGAGCAACAACAACGCCAACACAACCAACAACATCCAACCACCCACCAACAAGCTGTAGGACAGCGTAGGTCAACACTTCCAGAGACAGTCCGGGTACTCTCTGTGCTGAAGGTTCAGATTGTGTTTCTGGCACTCATGAAAATGTGGGTATGACATGTGCATTGACCTCTGTTTGATGGTGAAACATCAAAAGTGAGCAAGCTTGAGACGAAATTACTTGTCCAGGGACAGGGCTGGAAATATCTGGTGTTTTTCTTACTGACAAAAAAAAAAAAAAAAAAGGCCAAGAAAACACAAAACCAAACTACAAATATTTGCCCGTCTGTGATAAGGTTTTTTATTACCACTGTGGGAATATAAGTCTTTAAAATGGGCACAATTACAAGAAGAATCATAATTAATGCAGAAAGGTAAAAATGTGCAGATTTGGTACAACAGATCACAGGATTAACTTGAAAAAATACAATGTGGCTCTGAGATCTGTTTTAACCTTTTTGAGGAGCTCTATATGCTCTACCATTATAATAAATTTCAGAGGGGTACAATCATGATAATAACAATCTAGTTTAGAATTCAGTAGTCTACCTTTTGTTAAAAATAACTCCATTCATCCTCTGCCACTCATTTTGAGAAATCTATGTTGAAATTAGCAGGTTAGAAGCTAGTTAGCTAGTTAACCAAACAAGGTGAAAAAATGTGATATAAGGCCATAGTTGTCACGATATTTGGCAGGCATTTTGGGCCTTGAGGAATAACAAATTTTAATACTTTCCTTAAGTGACTTGACATTTTGGCGCAGAGTAGAAAGAAAAACATTAAATCATTTAGTTGACCAAATGTACACAGTCCTAGTCTAGTGAGCTCATTTTAATCATAGTGACACTCCAACGAATGGCTAAACCCACTCGCTTAACATATATTTTACCTCTGCGCTCTAATGGGTGGTAGAGCTACAGGGTTATAACAACTGAATCAAAGCCCTCTTCTTAATTAAAATCGAATCACAGTTTTTGACCCGAATGTTGATTCTTCGGGACTGTTCCATACTGTAAATATATTGGACATATTGTGGTGATACAGCAGTCATATTGTACCTAGAGAAGTGCACTGATGGTTTGACTGACATGACTGTAGATGTTGTAGCTATGAGGCCTGAGTTCTTAAGTGCCTTTTACACAATGAGCTGTCTGATCCAATCAAAACACCACAGAGGAAACATTTCACTTTGTGTTGTCTGCTTTGTGGTTCAGTGTGTGGTGGTAGGGCTTGTAAAAGCAGTTTGGTCTAACGCTAAGGAAGTTAGAAGTACTGTTTATTTTGTGATATCAGTTGTGTTGCCGTACTGGGAAAGACAGGGTGAACTATTATTTGAATGTGGTAGCAACTCCTTAGTGATGTGTATTAAGAGTACAGCTCATGCCATATGAGCACAGCTCCGTGATGTCTGGGTTGTACAAATCGTTCTGTTTGACACCGGCAAATCAGGATATTTTTGTTTTTACTTTGTGAAAGTATGAAGCCTTTAAAAGGCGTTTAAATCTATTTATTTTTGTCAGAACTGTGACTGATTTTTGCTAAATACGTTTGTGATTTTATTGCAATAAATGCTGTGCATTTTGACATTTTGAAAACTTATCAAGTTCCTTCTTGTACATTTTCTAATGTCCATATTCACTGTTATGTAACCTAAAAGGATGCATAGACAGTTCAGCAAATTTATGCTTGGAACAATGTTCTACCAAAAGACAAGCCTGCCAAATCTTAACACCTTTATTCTCCCACGCTGATTAAGTCAAAGAGAAGGAATAATTAATTTGAGAAATCATTTAAGATGTGTTCCACCCACCATTGCTGCTGTTGTTGTGGCAGCAGAACAAAGAGTTTTTAGAAAAGCATCAGGACTGAGAGTTAAAGGCTTTCTTAATTGCAGAGCTCCTAGAAGGAGTGGGAAAGGAAGAAGAGGAGGCAAGAAATGGAGAGGGGAGTAGGCGCTAACTCACCAGGCAGTTCAGGCAGCTGTGACAGTGCTAACAGATTCTGCAGAACTGCATCCTTCGTCATCCTCACCCTCATCATCAACCACACTTCTGTCATCTGTCCCTACATGGCAAACTCTGGTTCAGTTCCTAGTCTCTGTTTTAGCAACAGCATCAGTTTTAGACCAGAGATGGCAGCTCTAGAGTTGATCCATGCCTGATTTATCACATCATTGATGCACTAATATAGACCTACATCACGAGTGTAACAAGGTTTCTAAATAAAACTGAAATCCCAGTTAACAAGTATTAAACAGTTGCTTGCAAAAAAAGGCTGAAAATGTGAGGAGGTGTTGAATTTGGCCAAATGTCATCCCTTATGTTGACTTGGAGCAAGAAAAAACTAACTTAATCTTCGGTCAGTGCTGCTGCTGCTGCTGCGTTTGGACCATGATCCTACTCCTTCGTTCAAACCAGCTGTAATAAAAATGACTGACATGGAGGTATCTGCTTTTAATGACTTTACAGCTAATTCCAGGAAAAGGTTTTGCATTTACTGTTGACGTGAACTGAATCATGACTGAGGTATGTCAAGTCTTGAATACCACTTGCTGGCCAAGCACACAGCAGATACTGAGAGTCCTCCTCTCTCTCTGCAGAGTCTCTGTTTTCATCTATCAAATGTGGACTTGATTTTCTTCCATGACAGTTAAGACACAGGTAAGGCACAATTACATTATGATTTGATTTAAAGGTGGGGTAGGCAGGATCTGAGAAAGTGCCAGTTTTAGGGAGAAATCTTGAATGTAAACACTACCCCTGCCAACCAGTTTTCCCCTCAGCTCCTCCTCTCCCCTCCCTCTCTGCTCCAGCAAGCCCCATCCACAAACAGACACTCCTGCTTGCTGTATTGTTCCACTTAAATTCAGATATAATGCAGATAAATACCTCAGATAATTACACATGGGGCCCAGTCAACGTGAAAGTAAAAAGCACTGGTGCTACTGTAGATGCCATCAGACTACCAGCAAACACAATGTTTGCAGGACTTCTACAACCAGGATAAAGTGACATAGTCCAGGACCCGATATAAACAGTTTAGTGGCGCTACAACACGCAGCAGGTCTGGTTTGATAAGAAACACTTCTGTTGCAGACACTTGGCTTACTTTATTAAAGCAGTTAAATTAATTAATAAATTTAATTAATTAATTTAATAATTGAAATTTAACTGTCCAAATTTTTTACTAGTCAGCTCCAAAGGTCAGCCAAACACTGCATTTACTATATCACTGTATTCACAGCAAACCATCCAAGGGCAATTAGTGTAAAGTATTCAGAAAGTCTAAAAGTATCCCCAGTCTGGAGGTGTGTGTAATCTCCCTGGGAGATTCAGTGAGTGGGTGAGTGGCAGACAAAAACCTGCCATATACGAAATACTGTGTGCAGACCTTGTGATTAAGCCTCAGCATGTAGGAAGTACAAGAGAGCAGAGCAGTAAGGCAGAGAAGATGTCCTCAAACGACCTTGATGACAGGGTGACTCAAAATGCATTTGTTGGGTTTCAGAAGCTAAAGCAGGAATGTACATTTTCTAAACTTTGCTGGGGAGATTATATCATGTCCAAAAAATGACTTTCACTCAGTCATGGTACAGCAACATCAAACTTGGCTGTGTTTGCTATTATTATACCTATTTGTGAATTCTGATTTTAAGCCCCATCAAAAAGGTACCGGTGTTTTTTCACACCCCTTTATTTTCACAGAGACACACAGGATATTCTCGAGGGGGTGTGTCCACCAGCAGTACCGATTTTTTTTTTTACAAAACCAAAAATATCCTTGTGTTAATGTACTATCAGTTGAATGGCTCTTATCAAAAGCATTACATTAAAGACCAATCAAAATCAATACAGTACATCATAAAATCAACTTTGTAAACATTAGTATAGTAGATGTGAAAGTAACCGCACCTGTTGTTTCTAACATGTAATATCCAGGTCTCAAGGTGGAGATAACACAACAAGATTTCTGTCAATCATTTTTAGGTTTGCAAATTGAAATTCTGTTGATTCAGAAAATATAAAGCAAAAAGATATTTGTAAAACAGACTGGATCATCACTGTGAAGAGAGCGAAAGTGCAATTAGACAAATTTTGTAACCTGTTGTTGGTAAGCAACGGTCAGAGAAGCTCTGAAATAGAGTTTGTGAGTGCTGCAATAGCAAAAATACTGTTAGTGGACACAGACCCTGATGGCCTTGAAAAATCTAGGTTTTAAACTCACTGTAACACAGACTCTTCTACATCAGTATAAGACACTAAGAAAAACTGCCATTAATGTTGCACAGGACATAGAGACAATGTCAGCTCAGGGTGTGGGCCTGAGGCACTGGTTCGGCCAATCAGAAGGTTCTAGTTCTGCAAAAACCTACCGCAAAATGTTGACCAAAACATCACGCATATTCTCACTGACCACATGTTGGAAAGATAGATAAAAAATACTGTGCGGTGCAGCATTAAAAAGAATAGTGGCTCTCTTGAAAGTCCATACAGGACACAAACTGACACCATGTTGAAAGAGTTGGTTTTTAATGGCCATGCATCAGTAAATTTTCTGTCTGTTGCCTCAAATTTTCCAAAAACAGGCACCTAACAACATTATAAAGTCAGTAATAGTTGTATGGCTTAGAAACACCACAGCTGTATGTTCATTTTATATTTTATAACATGACACTAAAACATGAGAAATTAACTCTTTCCCAGGCACAAAGAAAACTTAAAAAGAGCAATCTGTGTTTCACTGTACGCAACCTCAAGTCTACTTATTAGCTTTACTCATACAAGTGTAACTGATCAATCTGTGTCTTCACATGAAGACTCCCTTGATCGGAGTGTTGAGAGAGCTTTATGTCTGATTTAATCTCAGCCTTATTCTTGGACAGCTGCCTGTTCTTACTCTTCCACACAGGAAGTGCAGTATAGAACTCACCACTGGCATTTGTACTCTTCGAATCATGGGAAAGTTTGTTGTACATGCCCCGGTATTCCCCATGCCCTCAAGCAAACAGCCGGTACTGCTCAGAGAAAAAAAACTGAAACAGTCTATTTCTGTCCAGGAATGCTGTATTTGTTTTTAGGCTGAACTAAAAAAAAATGTTTGGGACTATTTAGTGAAAATCTGGTCCCTCATAAATTCAGCATTCAGTTCCATAAAGGACTTAAGTCTAGACTTGGATCTTTTGATATTACAAGTTTGGACACATATATTTGTGTCAGTTTAGACAAGTCAGCTTGTAATTAATGGGCAACAACAGTGACAGATTTTTATTTTTTTATGTTTACACATGCTATTAGCAAACATGTAAAGCTAATATTAATGTGGGACCCTCAAAAGTAAGTTAATAATCTATTTCGCTTGAACACATCAACCTTCTTTGAAGCATTATTGGATGTTTTGGGGTTCATCTTTGTGCTCAAGTAACCTCTTATTTTTTTCCAAATATTTTAATTAAAAATGAAGGCCAACCTGGATATCCAGGGAATCAGACACTGACATTTTCAAGAGGTATGAGTCAGACTGGTTGCTACTGCCTGGAACACTACATTTAGTATATGTGAAAGGTTTTCCAGGGTGAGGATGTAGGAGGACGAGTCACAGTTCCAGGGCGTATGTCTGGGTGAACTTCATTGGATATAACACGGATAACTGAGACTAGCCGTTTAGATAATAAAACAGATGGGCACAGATTTTCTCTTTCACAGTCACCACTTCCTGTGATGAGTCCAAATGCCTTCAAAGGTTAAGGTCTATTGGCTGTTTACATTACATTAATCCTTCCTATAGTCCGAGAGACATTTCACTCGGCAGCATAAATGTCAACCTGCTGACGACACTAGAGGAGGGATCATATAGGATCAACAAAGCCATCAGGATTTATCCTCCAGAGAACAAGCCTGTTCCAGTGTTCACCTATCTGGTTCATCTGAAGGAATTTACAAACCTTAAGCCTTAAGATATCAGTGCTAAATGAAATATAAAACAAAATACAAGGTTAACAGGATTCATGTTTGAGGGGGTTGTGGGTATGTGTACTATGTCTCATCAATCCATTTATCTGTACTTGAGAAACATTAAAAAAGTCAATTTCATGAAGCTGCTTGTAAAAGAGCCAGACAAAGATTTGTTTTGAAGGGGTTCTTTCTTTGGGGACCATGAATATGCTTTATTTCACACCCATCAATCAAATAGCGGATGACAAATCCCTATAGAGACCAAAATGGTCAACCAGTCAACAGATTCAGATTCAGACAACCTCACATTACTTTGCTTTGTTTTTGCAGGAATTACCAAACTAAAATCCAAATATTTGAAACTGGGTTTGTGAATCTTTACTTTGGTTGTTCTTTAAAGGAACAAAAATCAACAGTTTGTGTGAAACTTACTGAACACACACACACAAATAACACAAAGTAAGGAATGTATAAAAGTGACATAAAACAGGTATATGTACATAACAGGGAACTAAAGGATCTCTTAAAAGCATAAAAGACTACTTTTGAAAATGAATCTTAAAATGTTCCGTAAACTGAACTTGCATACGGTTTGACTTGGGTTTAATTTATTTAGTTATTATATGATTTTTAATTAAGCAATAGACTAATAGAGCTAATGGATATATAGAACTAGGATTAGACTACTGTATTTTCCAGAACATAAGTCGCACCAGCCAAAAAATGCATAATAAAGAAGAAAAAACAAATGCTGGTATAAGTCGCATTTTGGGGGGAAATTTATTTTACAAAATCCAAGACCAAATTATATATGAAATTACATATTCAAATATATGAATCACACCTGAGTATAAGTCGCAAACTTAGCCAAACTATTAAAAAAATGTGACTTATATTTTCGAGAAATACAGTAATATAACTAAAAGTGTGTACAGATCATGATCAAAGAACTAGTCGGCAAATACGTTTTTCAGACCAGAATAGATTTTTCATGAAATGCGTCCATTTTCCATCTTAGCATCCAATTCCTCACAATGCAATCCACTCATTTACCAACCTGTGATGAAATGAAGATTTAAATAAAGATACCAGTGGGAGGCATATCCACTTAATACTTCAATAATGGTCTGAATCTTCACACTCGGGATACGCTTGGGTCCCCTCTGTAAAAATAGATAATCACCTGACAGGAACGCTCGTACGTCATTGTTCACGATCCAAAGCAATTAAAGCACTTATTACTTAAGCAAGTCTGACCTTTACAGGAATAGATTACTCCATTGTTCAGCTATAAGAGCTATAAGAGCCACCTCTGCAGCTGCATTATAATTATCAGACAGGTCTAAATATATGTGTGAAATTATACGTGTGTGCAGTTCTAATGACGCCTTTCAAACATCTCAGGTTGTGCCTACGTATAAGATGTCTTCTTTATATATAGTCACTGGTTTGTGAATTTGAGGATTGTTATGCAAGAGAGCAGATAAGAAAAAAAGAAAGAGTAAGGATATTAAGGAAATGATAAAGCTGCTTTATGAAACACACAGTGAATCTTGCTTTACTCTTGCAGCTGCATCGTATCTATCAGCAGAGGCAGAAACCCTGGCATCTCCTAGCCGAGGAGCTTCGTGAGTGAGTCACATCCACAGCTGAGTAATACTGCCCTGAATCAAACAACAGCCTAACTTCAGGGGAGGGAATTCTGCTACACTTAGTGCTTAAAAATAGATCAGAGGATAATCAAAATTCAGGACAAGAAGGCAGAAACTTTAAGGTGTAACCACGAGGCTTTAATATGCATTCGAATACAAAGTGAAGAGATTTAGATTAAAAAGGTGTCTTTTATCAGATATAATACGGGCTTTTAAGTAAATACTCAAGGGTACTCAACAATTTTTATTCTGCACGGCACTATTTACTACGCTAGGCATGGTTGTCATAGTGTTTTGGTGACTCCAGCTGTGCCTGATAACAGTTAGTGAGAGTGTGACTTCAGAGTGTGTTGTTAAACCCACTATTTAATAAACAGGAGATACACTGTAGCTGGAGAGGGTGTGGTGATAACAGGATTTAGAGGTTCTAGAGATGCTTCGTGATGAAACTTCACATCCTGTAATATTAATAAATTGTTAATATTACACATACTTTTCTATTTATTACTGACATTGGAGTTCTACAGAAAAAAACGGATACAAATACATTTTCTTAAGCACTTGTAAACAACAAAATTTACAATGATGCAGTTATAATTTCAATCATCTGGATTTTAATGACTTTTTTTCTGCTTTCAAATTAAATCCCCCTCTTGTTATCACCCCACCACACTCACACCTTCGACAGTGGCTCTGACACCTTCATGGAGGTGAAGAGAGGCAAGAGGTGAGGAGAGTTCAGGCGGATATATAGGTGACCTCATAACCTTACTGATAATTACACTTGTGAATGAGGTAGCCGGAACTCAGCAAATTATATGCTTGAATGATGCAAATACATGACGCATGATACTTCGTTCACAAAATTGTTTGTGAGAGTAGTCAAATCTGATCTCAAGAGAATCACTCAGGCCATGACAGCCAATCAGCAAGATGATGAGCATGCTCATGATGGCAAACTGAACTTGCTGGGATCCAAGTGTATGATCGAGCAGCAAAGACACTAGTTTTTTAACGTGTTGCACATGTTCGAAACAATGAATCCATAAACCCTCTCTAAGTTTTTACACCTTGATATCAAACCAACATGCTGATGATGTAGTACGTATAAAAACATGGTTGTTTAAACACAGTCTAGCATAGAACTGAGTTAAATAGATCTGCCAATTGGATTGGCCAAACAGATAAGTCCTTTGTCAACAATACCCTACTGGCTTTTTCATCCGTAACTGGATAATACCCAATACTAGGATACTTAGGGTGACCATATTCTGACTTCCCAAAAAGAGGACACGACTACGCAGGGGCGGAGTCACAGAGTCGCACAAAGTTAATTTTGAGAGTTTTACAGCCCGGGATAGAGCGTCTTTTATGTGCTTCTGACCCAGTAAGTCCACATGACACAAAATTAAAACTCTCGTACAAAACTGCGGACATTAGAAGGATTCTATAAACTTCCCTGGACAAAGTCGGACAAGCCCGGACAGCCACCAAAAAAAAGAGGACATGTCCAGGTATAAGAGGACATATGGTCACCCAAGGATTACTACACCCCTAGTATAGATGCTATACTACAAAGTAAATACTCCATGGGCCTGCTGGAGGTTTGTGTACTTGCTAACAACACTGACAAGCACCAGCATAAGCAGGGACAAACAGGAAGAAAATCTGTCTTAAATTTGATGCATTAAAGTGATATCAGGTCAGCTTTTAATGTTCAAGTAAACCAGGAAAAGGTGACTGCTCGACATGCTTTAGGTCATGTGACTGACATTGTACACCTTGTGATGTGAATTTTGTAGGTGGGATGGTCAAATGATACACCAGTCAGCCCTAGAGTGAAACTATAAGTCTGAGCTATCTTACTCATTTTTAAAGTTAACAAAAAACAAACAAATAGATAAACATACATAAATAAAGTTGATTAAGATGCCATGGAAGATACAATCATGTTTTAACAAACACATCACTTTTTATTTTTAGTTTCTTTTCTGTTGCTTGTCAGTAAAAAAGAGACATATGTTAACCCTGTTGTATGACTTTCCTTGTAAATCATAAAGGCTATATAACTCCATGAATGTCTATTTTTGCAGCTCTTGTGTGGGTGGTAGTAAGATACATATCCTTCTGCTCTCTGCTATACAGAGGATTAACTAACTGCAGATTATAATTTGATGAGGTAAATAAGAAGTCTGTGTAAGCAAAATCTCAGGCTTTAAATGTTACATAAAGTGGGCTGAGGAGGTTGAACACATCACCGATAACACAGCTGCATCTGAAAACCTTGTTTCAAGGGTTTTTAAATTGAGTTTTAACAACCTGAGAGCAGCTGAAGTGCACCAAATGCTGTCTGGTCTCGGAGTTTTTCTTTTTTCCTTCATGTCTCCAGTTAGCATGCAGCCCATGTTTAAGAGTGCTGCCTGGTATACAAGGCACATATTCACACAGCCGCCTCCTTATTCATTGATGGAGCCATGCATGCAGACTCCCAACTTCAAATTTAAGAAATCCATTAACTTGAATCGACAGTGTTTCTATATAAACCAGACACTGCTGAGTCATTTCTCCCACATTTGGAAGACAAAAATGTGGCTTTTCGATGAAGACTGTTGATTTTCATAACCTCTTACTTACAGCAACTTTGGTTATTTCCACAGCATCCAATAAACACCATGCACCTTTGCCTTGGGTCATTTTTTTTTGCTATGAAACCCTAAGATAAACCTCAGGCTATGAGCTGATGCTTTGAAACGCATCTGACAGATGATTCCACCTTTTTCATTACCCTGCTGTCAGCCTCAGCAAGGGCCAGGTGTGATAAAAATGTGCCAGAAAAGATCCACTCTGACATGAGATACCATTAGAAATCCCATCAGATTATAATTGAGACCCAAGAGGGGGCACATCCGAACTGACGTAGACAAGGGCATATCTTTTTTTAAAGGTGTGAATGACTTTAGACGAAGGTAAATCTAAAGACATCACTCAGATATCAGGCAATTTCACAGCCAGGGAAATTAAAACAGCATATATGTGAGGACGAGTGTGATATTCGAAAGCAACAGGATGTGACCATATATGTTCCACTCTCCACCACAGAGGAAATCTTACAGACAAATGCAAGAAGACTGTCATTATAGGGGGAAGGAGGAAATCGAATGGGAGGGATTGAGAATCAATCAAAAAGGATAGAAAACACAACTGATCCTCACAGTCTTTGTTGGCTCACACCGACTAAGAGCCTGAGGCTTCAGTAAAAATCCATCAAGTCATTTCATTAGTAAAGACCTGAGCAAAGAGAGGACCAGAAGACAAAAGGGGCTAGCTTCTGCCGAGAGGTGGTTACGCATGAATAGGCCCCTCTTAAAGTGGTCAAATAAGCAAGCAGGCTCTGCGAAAAAGAGAATAACTGTTGAGTTAAATGATCACGATGACGAGAGGCGACCTTGAATTGCAGAAGCCTGTTGTAGGTTTTTTTATGTTAGATCTTTGAGTTCGCTCGCAAGAAAAAGTATCAGGAGATGTGATCAGATTTATATTTTTAACATATTCTTTTGTCTTTGATGCACGGGATGCAAGAACTGATACATCAACTCATAAGATGCCGCCACTTGTGGAGCTGTGAAGTGATAAGTGCTGTCACTCCTTCAGGAGGTCTGCGCAATTACCCCTGAGTGCTCTGGTGTCCATCCACAGGCCAAGCACACGCGGGTCAGATAAACTGGAAACGGTGGGTGTGATTGCTTTGTCTATGTGTCAAACATGTTGGACCGCCAGAGTAAGCACTGCCTCGACCTCTGCACAGGGTAAGTGGGTACAAATGACGGGAAGATTGAACCACTCTAAAGTTTGACAACAACAACCGCCATGCCAAAAAACTGGGGTCAAGATGTTCTTTCTCCAAACATGCTGTTTGTTCACCAAACTTTTTTTTTCCACATGTATTTTTTTTATTCTTCCAGAAAAACTGAACGGATCAACATGCCTATAATTCTTATACTATATCCAGACAGAAATATAAATACATCATTGGATGGTAAGCCTGCATTTTCCAATATTTATTAATTAAAGGAAGACTAATCAAACTGACTGAGGAAATTTCCACATTAAGTCTGTAACTGTCAGCAATTTTATCAGCTGACAAGTTGACTGAAAAATTGTTTTGATCTTTGATCAACTTATCAGACTGTACAAGTGTAGTTGTGGTGACAATAATGGTTTCTGATGAGGAGTTACAGAGCCCAATGATGGTGGTCACCATAAAGAAAAAAACGTCTAATTTTCTTAGCAAACTAAAAACAGGGAGAAAAGTTTGAGCAACAGTATTAGAGGCTAACAAAACACTTAGATACAACACGCACCTGTTGGTCAAATCACCATGCCCCTGACTATGGAAATTTATCTATAACTCTATCTGCTGTATATTCAATATGAAAAAGTTCAATCTACATGCAGTGTGTGATGCAATAACGATCCAAAATTACATGCTTTTTGTCATCTTTCAGTGCACCGATGTTAAGCTGCAGCTGCATCTTCCTACTCCTGCTGCCACCATGATGGAAAACAACCACATCACTGCACTTTTGCATGGCACATCTCACTTTAAAAACTCTCATACGGCTCAGGTGACAAGTCAGACGTAAAATGCACTTTGTGTCATGGAATAAAAATATCACCTGAGTACTTTGGGTTTGAGCTTCAGGCTACAAGCTAAGCATACAAGTGCGGCTAATTACGCTGATGTCAGCAGGAAACCACATCTCAAATGCTGGAAAAGAACCAAACATCACATCTGACCTGTGGATGAAATGTGGAAATCGTAGACTCAATAAAATTTTGAGCTAATGATGAAAACCAATAGTCTACTTTTTTTTTTTAATCAAAAAGAGACGTTAATAAGGGAATCATTAAAGAATTGAATTGATAAGCAGAATCGATAATGGCATCGATACTGACAAAATCTTATCATTTCCCATCTCTATGTATTGGAATTGGATCGGTATCGGCTGATTCTAAACTGTAGACATCTATATGGATATCATCCCTAATCACCGCAGGGAACAGTAGTTGCAGTGGTGTTACATTTAATTCTCCTGTATATAAAAGAGGATTTACACAGTCTCTAAGCGGGGTCCTTGGCTTTTTGAGCCAACCTTAAATGGACGTTCAATAAAGTGCAGATTTTTGCACTTCTGAATCGGCTTCATTTTTTAAACAATCTGCTGCTAAGTAAGAACACAACAGCGCACATATACATGACAACACATCCACCCATCAGTGAGCCTTCATTCAGTTAAATACAAGCTACACTAATATGGACAGCAGCAGAAACCCATTAACAGGCATGTGTAAATGTGTGGTCATGTTAGTGTAGGCGTCTAAAGTGAGAGCTACAAAGGAAGAAAAATAATGGGACTGTTATAAAGATATCAGACCCGACAGAAGAGAAACACTCAGTCATTTGAAGACAAAGAAGACTGAATACTGTATGTGCATGTATTTGAGATTTATTTTAGATACTAGATATTAAAATTCCTGCAGAAAACTTTTTAACCATCCTGAGCATAACATGTAATAAATTCAGATTAAATAGCCAGTCAGTCATAAAAGGTCAAAAAAAAATACCACAACTGTGACATAATAAAAACAATAACAGAATAGATTGAATTTTTACAAACATTAAAGTCACAATTTGTCACACTGTCACATAATAAAACCACTATTATTGCATTTCCAAATTGATGTACCAACTATTGAAAGTGACTGAGATGAATGAGTCAAAAGTAAATGAACACAACAGCTAGATGACAAATGCAGATCGTGATAGCATTCACACACACACACACACACACACACACACACACACACACACACACACACACACACACACACACACACACACACACACACACACACACTGAAGAGGGTGTCTGTGGCTCTGGGGTTGAGGAGGTGGGTCTCAGAATAATCACAGAGGTTGTTGGTTTGACCCTCACTGTCTGGTGTCCTCAAGATAAAATGCAAAGTAATATGCTGAGATGATTGTTCACCACCTCAAGGGAGAGGAGGAATTTGAATATGTAGTGGGACAGAGTACTAAATATAACTCTGAAGTAATTGTACATGAAAACATGTAACCTGGAGCAGCCAGGCAATTTCATGAGATTGAGGTATGACTCATATTGTCTCTTATTTTTAGCTTGAATATCATTTTTAGATAGGACAGCAAGGATTCAGAGCTTGTTACCTGGTTACCTTCGTTTTTTAACACACTGGCACATTGATGTGCGTTAACTCTTCTTTGACGTGTTCGGGTACTGGCCATGCTCTATTAAACACATTTTACCAGCCTTGGCACTTTCATTCAACCGTATTCAATGACTTTGGTTGTCTTGACAACATCATGCTATTAATTTATTAATTGTACACAGTGACGCGGATTATGAGGATTGAAGTGAAAGAGCACACAGAGATTAAAATAAATCCTGAAGCTCTTTATGCAAAAAAATCTTGGGATCTAAACTTTCATCTAACTTTTCTTAAAACTTAATTGTAGAAATTGAAGAACTTTTCATTTGAAGTGCTGTTATTGTTGATCTAATGCAGGGTAGTATGGCCTAAAAGTGTCCCATTTAGTTGAACATTGTTTGGTTTTTATTGTTTGCCCTGATGGTTCATTGATAAGGTTTGTACTATATATGCTTATCTATCAAAGCTGCAATAGAGCAGATTAAGTCATTTAGATGCTCTGAATGTCAGTTTTGCTTGGCCCTGTGAGGATCTACTTCTTTTGTTTTAATAACATGAAAGTAGAAAGTTGGATTTCTCTAGGTATGAGTCCCAGCAGTCCAGCCTCTCTGTTGTGCAATTAAATGAAGTGGCAGGATTCGTTTTCTCTTGTTGAAATTGAAGTCATAGCACAGTTCATCCATGACTGATTGCCTCGGCTCGTGCTCAGTGCTCCACAGAGGTTTATCTTTCGTTGTTAGCTCTCTCTGTCTCTGTGAGCATGAAAAAAAAGAAAAAGAAAAAACTAACAAAAACTCTGATGCTGCTGACTGTTGCTGCCAGTGAATGATGATGATGATGACACATATGATGTGGATATCATCTCTGATTTAACTTTAAAGTTCAGAACCTTTTTTCCCAAACTTTTTATTACATGTTTCATCTGAACCACCATCTGAAGCCTCCTCTGTACCAAATTAACAACACAGGACAAACAGTACTTAAACCATTAGTCACGGACCTGTTCAAATCTTACCAAAAACAGTACCCAAGTGTTTGTGGTGTTAAAATTAAGGAGTGATTTACGCTCAGGGCTTGTTCCCTAACTTGTTAAAATCCAGGTGAATTGTCATGTAATTGGACTAATTGGGCTGAGCAACATCTGAATCATAGTTTCAGATGTCTGTAATTTGATGTTCTGAGAACGGCGGGTCTGCAACAAAACTATAGAAGCCCAATGCCAAACATTCATTTCCTGACGCATGCAGACGTGGTTGTAGTTTTTTAATCACTTTCTATTTTAACGTTATCATCTGTAACGTCATTGCTCCACTGCTCATCCAGAGCTGTTTTTCTTGGTATTTTGTGCACGTCAACAGCTGCTGACGCAGATTTTCTAAATCAGGGTGTTGCAATTTTCAATCGAGAGGGAACGTTTTAGCTGCAGGCGGTAACGAAACACACAAATAATGACAGAAAAATAAAACAGGGCAAAAGTTAGAACGGTTCGTTTCTTTTGCCTGTGTGTTTATGTGTATTTGTGTGAATGTGTGAGCACACTATTCAGTGAAGTCATAGGAGGTTGCAGCGTACAAACATATTGACAGGTAAGTTGTTTTTCACTCAGCAGGGATGTGGGCTCAGAGTTATCAGTACAAGTGCCCTATAACAGAAACCTAATTATCAAGCGTTCACAAAGTTTTGTTTTTTTTTCTTTCCTTTTCATTTTTTCTATTATGGCTCACTCTGTTGTCACCCAGAGGCAGGACAGTTTTAATTAAACCTGGCTCCTATTTTAACCGTGTTTTCTTAGTGCACTGCTAAGGAGAATCTCTGGAAATAAGATTAGTTGGTATGAAATTAAAAATCAACATATAAACTCCTAACATATTAAAAAAAGTGCTGTAGTTCTCTGTGCATTGGAACTTCTCATCACATCATGCTTCTGGCTGAACTCCTGATAATACAACCCCATGCTGCTCGAAATTAAATTCACGCCTTTCAAATTTGCAGCACCTAATAGGTTTGTAATATACCGCACACTGTGGATTATATTAACCATTAACATAATGATTAATTTTCGTCAAATGAAAAGATAGACTTTTTGAAGTAAGAACAGGATTTTTGTTTATGGAGAAACTGGTGTCCTCCAGTGAAATCTTGCACTGCCTGAAAGTGAGAGTCAGGAATGTAGATAAGGATGTACAATATTATAGGCTTGATATAAGTAATAGGACAACAACAAGCTTCAAGCTGTGGGCTGTTTGAAGGTGTTGGAATCAGACAGAAAAATAGCTATTTGCAATGCTAGTGAAGCACAGGTGACGCAAGGAGCATAACACCACTGCTTTAGTGCGACTGATGTAACTGTCCATCCTAGAAACTGTGATCCTGAACAGCAACAAGAGTTTCTAAAAAGTAAGAGCAAAAAAGTGTCAGCAGCACCCATGAAAAACCTGCAGTCTCTCTCTCAGTCTAAAAAACAAAGCAAATCTGGGTAATATAGTAGCGACAGTAAATAGTAGAGAGCTAAAGCAGCGGAATAAAGAACAACAGATTTCATTGCACCACCCTTACGATGAACTCAAGATTATCACTGTATGCTCTGCCAAGCTGCTGCCAATATGAGTTTAAAAACATCGGTGTATCAGATAAGAGCTAAAAGCCTGCATCCCTGTTAAATCTTATATTTTTACGTTATTCTTCTGTGTGTTTCTGTAGCTTTAGGCTTCTGGGGATCTTGGTCCATTTAGGTCTGTTTGAAAGATTTTTACTCATTGTGTTCTCCATCGATTCACCAATCAATGACGTAAGGATGCACCAAAGCTTCCATTTCTTATCTTCTGCAGTAATTTAACCCTTTACATGAGCTTTTCCAACAGTCAGACTGAACTTTTCAAAGAAGGGATCAGGAGTGTGCACCAAAATACACCAGAATAAAATTCAACTTCACTGAACATCAGCTGGTTTAGTATTATTACAGAAGCCACTGGCAGTTTGTTGCATATTAAAGTGGCCACAAAGATAGTGTTAAACGGCAATCTGTCTGTACCTTCCATTAGACGGTATCTTCTAATCAAGAAATCAAGCCTACCCGGCGGTTGGTCAGTTAGACTACTAGAGGACAGGTCTAAGAATATTAGCATTTCTATTAAAAACAGTAATTTGCATAGTGTCTTTTTAAGTACCCATGGTCACTTAACATAAACGGAGCAATAAATTTAAAACCAGACTAAGACGGGAGCAAAGACATAAGGCTCTAATGGAAACGCTGTGTTTTTTTATCTTTCATGTCATGAAATTGTTAAAATCTCATCGTGATGTATCAGTAAACAAATATGAACTCTGCACTAATAACCAATGATGATACAAAACACACAGTAGGCCTACAAGATAACATAACCACAGCAAAACAAGATGGTATATCATTAAGATGTAGGTTATGCTTCTAAGAGCAAACAATCTGTATCAAACAGAAAAGAGTTTACAGCCCCTACCACAGACAAGACATCCCAGATCTGTGGGTTTACCAAATCTCTGACTAGTTCAAATGCAGCATCCAATTGAATATCATCAATTCCAAAAACAACTCTTATTATCTCTCATTTGAGCCCACAGCAATCATCACCTGGCAGAAGTAGAGTAGCATACTTAAAGTTTAGGAAACTCACAGTATTGATGTAGCTTGAATAGAAAGTCCTCTTCTTCTTCATCCTCCTCTTTTCTCCATTTGTAAAGTATCCTTTTTTGCGGTTTCTGCGTAAATTATCAGCATGATGTTTTATATATCATCTACTCTCCATTCCTCGTTATCAAATGCACGTGCAGTATCAGATGATTAGCACGGATTATTTGTATTTTCCGGAAATCCCGACGATCGTGGACAGGATTGAAGGGATTATTTTTAGGATTGGAACCGGGTAATGCACAGGTAACCATGTTGTACTACACACACTGAAACACATGTAATGATACCAACCAATCAATCAAAACGGACGACGAATTCAAAAAAGTTTACCAAAGTTCAATTGGTCATCATCGATAGTGTCATCGAAACGTCATCACGCAAAGGAATAAGACGCGACGTAAAGTTGTGTTTGGTTCGCGTAAAACGGTCGTAATTCAAACAGTTGACACTGAAATAACAAAAGTAGAGCAACTACAAGTTACATTGTCACAAAGAATAATCCGAAGTAAAAAGTAATCTCTACAATGTATTCTGATAACAAGATAAGAAAGATTCGAATACACAAAATAGGAATCATGTTCCAATAAAATATTTTCTTCAGGCCTATTTAATTTTAAATGTAATATTATTCATAGTAATTCGACAATAAAATTATGAGTTATGTTCACCTTACATGATTCTAAAAATTGTTTTCATTTCAAATCATTTCAATTTATTTTTGACCAAAAAGTAATCGATCACAAATTCAGACTCTGTATCAACCCAGTATAGTTTTTTTATTAGGTGACCCCCTGCCCCCCTCAGTTTTATTCATTTTTTAATAGCTGTGTTTTTGTCGATTCATATCGCTCTCTGACTTACTTACGTACTTACTTAAAACGTCTTATGTCCTTGACAGAGCAAAGGCACGTCAAAAGACATCTTGTCATTTTCTTAGGCCTGCAGAGTATCCTCATTTCTATCTCATGAAGAGCACAATCAACAGCCTGGCCACCTTTTCTCTTCAGCCCTGCTCTTCCTGAAGCTCTGTCATCATCCAAGGGACCAATCACATAATCAAAACAGTTGAATAAGCCACCAGCCCTTTCAGCTTTTACTGTTTCTCTGGTGAGCAAGTGGACTGCAGTGAGTCTATATACAGTCTATGGTTGTAACTTTTGTCATAGAGACAGTGAAAATGCTCTGACTCTAAAAAAGAACAAAATCACTGTTTAAAGTTCCAGTCCAAGGAAAATATCTGATTATCCTTCAGATGTTCACGGTAACAGAACAACATATGACTTCTTTATAGACGGAGTGCAAATTTGTTCACAAACAACCGGGTCCTTTTGTACAAGAAGTCCAAGACGCTGGTCTGTCTCCTCAACCTCTTTCTGCTTTGACTTGGCTTTGTCTCACTTAACCTCATAATCTACATTATCCAGATGAATCCAGACTTACACTGCAGGTTCCAGTGACCCAGAAACTTTTAATCCAGATTTACTTTCCTCACTTTATTTCTTATGTATGAAGGTTATTTGAATGTGTATATACTACTGTGTTTATTTACTGTTAGCTGAGCTTAACTCCACTGTCTAGTATTTGCATCCTCATCGAATACTAATTATTTATGTATATTTTATCTGGTCATGTAGGTAGATTTTCACCTTTATTTTGAAAAGACAGTGGACAGAGTCAAAAAGCAAGTGGGTAATGACATGGGGCTTAGAACCACGGGTCTGGATTGAACCTGGGCTACTCCCCTTGAGAACTACAGACACTGAGGCTCATAACTAAACTAATGAGACTGTTTATAAATATATATAAAAGTTATGATTGTGTATGATTATGATTGTGGGGATGGGGTCCAGTCATTGTGTACTGTCATATAGCCTGACCATCTTCAAAAAAATTTTAATACTACAAAAATCTATACTAGTGACCTATTATTCTCTAATATTAAATTGGACTTTGTCTTTTCAAACCCAGTTCTTAGGTGCTAAATGTACAGCAGTTATAAGATGTGCACTAGCGCCCTCCTGTGGTTGATCTCCACACTTGAGCATACCATCACTCAAACTCAAGAACTGATACTAAACTGTCTAGTTTGTCAATATTGCCTTTAAAGTTTGTTGACATCTATATTCTTGACAGTATAGCAAAAATGACTCACTTCATTTTCCCCACTGTAAATTAAAGCAATCAGCTAGTGATAAATTTGTTATATTTGATGACTGCACATCTCAATTAACTTCCATATATTTCAAATGTTTGCATATCTACATAAGTTAGGCACATCTTCTTGAATGCAGCGAGATTTATTTGAAATCTTCAGCAAATTAAAGCATTAAATTAAAATCAATTTTGTACGCCAGTTCCTCCATTGTCACTTTGACAACCACCAGAGTAATTGCACCAGATTGCGAGTGAATTTATCTGTTTTTATCTAGCTGTCTATTTAATACATGGTTGACAATAGTGAAAAATAGAGAAACTACACTTTTCAGTAACTCACCCTGGCATCTTTTACCGGCATGTTCAGTGTAACAAATAATCCAAAGCCTCCAAATACTCCATTTGGACAGGACATGTGCAGGGTTTAGATCTCGGTTTTACGGGTTGAGAGAGCTTGTACAAAACTTTGATGCCAGCAAATACTTTTTGTGTGTTTATAAAAAGGGAATAAGCTATGAGAAAAAAAAAGATGTGAAACCTTGTCTTTAATTTCAAAACTGCAATGAGACGATTTTTATTCCAGCCTCAGTAGTCAGCTTTGAAATTGCTTCTCAATTAAGCAGAAGGATCAAATTGAAACACAAACTCAGTATATTTTATTTTCATCATTTTGAAAGCAAATAAATATCACAAACAAACCCAGCTTCGTGTTTCCACCAATAACTTACATCTCTGTATGAGTTCTCCCTCTTAAATAAGTTCATATCAGTAGGCATTCTTCTGTAGGTTCTTGCTCTGGTGCTTTATTCAAATCCATTTAGTCCATGTCCTATCAGGTGGTACTCCAGAGAAAGGCCTTGTTGTCCAGCACACTGGCCAGTTTTTGATTAAAGGGCTGGTGAAATTCCCTGAGGAAGTCTCGAGTGACTGGAAGCATCGGGCCCAGGTTTCTGTCTGCCGCCCGCCTGGTGTTAGACATGGGCCGTTTGGACAGTGCTGACTCTGCCTGTTCTGACAGAGGACCTACAGGGAGGTTGGAAGGTTGATATTAGCGTCACTACAGACTTGACGACTGACAATACACAGCCAGAATGATGATTCTGATTTTTTTATGTAAGAGATGAGCTTATCAGATACATACTGACACTCAGGAAATCAAAAACTTTCTTGATTGTCCCTTTGAGGTTTGCCGCGTAGTCCTCGAGTCGTAAAACAAGAATCTGCTCTCTTTGGAAAACAGTCAGCCAGTCCAGCAAGAAGATGATGTACAACCCCAAATTGAGCCTAACCTATAGGGGAGAAACACAAGTTAACCTCTGTTTTGGCAGCAATGAAATCAAAAGTGTACATTGTTATCCAGCTGCACTGACATTTTGAGTCCTCAAGGGGGCAGCATAGCCCAAAGCCATTTGCACAAACTTAGCCACTAACCTTAACCCACACAAAGTGAACATTTTTAAAATGTCTTAAATCTCATCCAAACAAAACAAAAAATATTGATAAGACACAAACAATCTAGAAATGTGTTTTATTTGATATTCTTATTTTGATTGATCAACTTTGATATAGTAGATCTCACAGGATAACAGTGCTGTGGCCTACATGTTGTGATAAGGAGTGAAATCACACAGAGCTCAAATTTTAGCCTTGTGCTGCTTCAGAGTACAGGACATTTCATCTGAGGGGTCTGAAGGAAGCTTAGGAGCTGATAGTTTTTTTCATAGACCTCAGAAAACATTTTTTAAAAGTGTTTTGATAAGAGATATGAGGCAAACTGTGAGTGCTGATACAGGGTACATAGCAGAATTTCTTCATCGAGATTGACCAAGCTTATTCTTACACCCAATCAAAGCAATTACCAACTGGTGGCACAAAAATTGAGACATGCAGATATACTGTATCTACATAGTACAGAATATGCAGTCAGCTGTAACGTGTAAATACACAAAGCAGCAAGTGCGCAGGAAAATGTTTGGTTAGTCTGGAAATCTGTTCAGTCAAGCTGCTGAGCTGCTTGTGGTGTTTGAGCAAGATGAATTATCAGAGACAATTCATTTGTCATCTGTTGTTTCTAAATAATGTTTTGCTCTTTTATGCCGCTTGATGAACAGTTCAATAAATGCATATAAATGCAACATCACTCAAGGTCGAGCTGTTGTACTGAATATCAGGGGTGTGATTATCCTCAGGACTCTATGACTGATCACAGTTAAGCTGATAATAAGAACAACAGTGCTGCCTAACTGATCGTTTGACTTTAACTTCCCTTTGAGGACAGGCAGAAAAGATAATGTGAGCTAACCGGCATAGAGTTGGAGAGGCTGGTGTTGTATACGCAGGATCGAAGTGACCTCTCAGACAGGCAGGTGCGAAACAGCTGCACAGAGTCTATGACCTTCTGATGGAAGACCTCTGCAGACTTGTTGGCCGTCTTGAAGTAAAGGTAGTCCGAGTAAAGCCTGGAAACACAGAGACCTGCAGTCAGCTCTGACTAAAAAAAGAACAAATTACTAGACTTAAAAATAATTCGATGTTTTTCAAATGGAAGTAACTAAAACGGTTAGGCTTCACGCACACTGAGTTGTTTTTTCTCATTGATTTTAATGTATTGAGTTCTCTTTATTCAACCAATCTATTCGTTGTATTTTGTTAATATAATTATTGTATACAATAATCTAGTCATAGTTTCAGCAAATAATTTCATCTACCCTCTATCAACTTTAAAATCTGCCCCTGGAAGAGAATCACTGCTCACCACAGTACCTCTCTACTGGATCTCTGAGCATGATGATTATTTTAGCACCAGGCTGAACTGTGTGGATGAAGTCCTGGGCCAGAAATGGGGGCTCTGCCTCCTCCCTCTCTCTGTCAAGATAGCTCCAGGCTTGGTTGTCCCACATGGTTGATGCACTGGCTTCACCTGTCAAGATATTCAGAAACTTAGCAACACCCTGGGTAACAATGCTAATGAAGTGAGTCAAGCACTGTCAGGAATAATGAGGTTAGGTTGAACATGGCTTTTGGCCAGAATATGCAGCACCTTTTTAACATAATACATTATGCCAAGTGAGAAAAAAAAAGTGACTGTTAAGTGGCTATGTTGGAGATTCACAGAAGTGAATATAATACACGTTTGTTTTCCTTCCACAGCCAAAGCAAAGTATGCTACATCTTACTTTTCACAATCAAGATGACAAAGTCCCTTAACTCTGATTCTGCTTCACCCTGAAAATGGAATTTCTTTAATCCGAGGTTTACTCCGGGTTTCCTGTCTCTTTGGGCAAGGCCTAGAAGAGCAGAGTCTGGGTCAACTTTTATAACCTCATATGCACAGAGAGTGAACAAAAAGGCACCCTGAGGCATTTCAGGTTCTATGTTGACTTTTTAATGGCACAGTAGTGCTCCTGAGGTCAGAGCTACTTGACTGACTGAATAACAATGAAGGAAAAAGAGACCAAAGGGAGCAGGTATTTGAATCATGGTCAGGATCCATTTGTTCAGCTGTTCAAAGGATCTCAGGAAAAACATAGAGCGCATAGACCAGAGTGTGAGAGATTCTTCCATCTAATGCACAATGGACGCCAACAATACCAAATCATACCCACCCAAATCACACAAACACTTTCACATATGCTCACCTGTTATGAACTGGGGAGCTCTGTGGTCTCCAGATGAATTTCCACTGATTACTTCTTGGATTTTTTGGGCTGCCAAGTCAAACAGATCCAGGTAATCTTTCACAGGAAAACTTTCCTGGAAGCCATCTTTGAAACGGATATAACCTACACCCCGAGGAGCACCAAAAAAAAAAAACACTTATTATTAACTCTTCTAAAGGATTCAGTACCACGAAATTCATTTATTGGGCTGAGTAAGCCTCAAATCAAGTTTAACAATAAGACAGAAAAATAAAGGCTGTTTCAGAAGAAATACATCAAACAAAGAGCTGCACACCACACAATACTTTTCTTTTTCTACATGTGGTGTTAATCAAAGCACTTCCTGTGAGCACAACAAAGAGAAACTCTTTGCTTTGATGGGAATAAATGAAGCATTTTATGATAGAACAGCTGCAGATAGTCAGACGCTCTGGTTTGGACTATTCTATACAACTTGATTCTATGCAGATTTCAATTTGATTATGAATTTTGCACTTACAAAAGAATGACAGGAGAACATTCTTACAGGAAAAGACCTACACCAGCAGCAAAACAAATAAGGGAACAACAGAATGATGTGTTTTATCTTTTTGCTAATTTTGTCTCGTACATTTGTAAGTCTCCTCCTGCTTTCTTGTAACAGCCAAACATATCACCTGCTGTAAATATTTGTGAAAGTACTTTTTTTTTCTTCAGCGTGCTAATAATCTTCTGGTCTGACACCCACATCCTCACAGGAGTCACTAAAAGTTGCAAGACCCTAAACTTTTTTTCTCTCCAATTTAAACAAAACCACCTCTTAATCAAATTTATATGGGTCCTTCATATATATATATAATTATTACACTTTTAATCTTCCTCTCAGTGATACAAACATTCATTAGAGTTAACACAGAGTAACTCTGTATTGGTGTTGCAATTAACAATTATATTCCTCAGCCTCTGGAAGCTAACCTGTCCTTCTATGCCTGATACAAATGACCCTCTTAAGATTTCAAGAAGGAGATTTAAAGATACAGCTGAAATGAAAAGAAGAAATTGGGGTAGACATGCACTGAAGGGCCAAGGGCATGTGTTGAACCTCTGGCCCACCGAAGACTTTGCCTCTGGGCTGAGCCTGTGAGCGCCCCAGTCTACCAGCCTTGAGGTAAAAGTACATCTTGCTTTGGCCCACCAGCACTTTGAACCCCAAATGTTTCAATTGTAAACCATAAATATGAAAAGGGCTGAGAATCACCAGTGGCCCCACGATAGGATATGATCACAATACTTGTGCCATGATACAAAATAACATGATACTTGGGCCACGATACGATATTATCGCAATATTTGGGACGTGATACAATATTATTGCAATACCTGGGCCACGTTACGATATTATCACGGTACTTGGGACGTGATACAATATAATCACGATTTTTAATATTTTGCAATACAGCAAGTACTGCGAGACAATACATTGCGATTTATATAATTTTTTCCAGCTGTTAAGCTAATTTAGCATTTGACTTTCCTCAATGTTTCTCTTATTTACGCTGTATTTTATTTTCATATCGCACATCTTACATATTTGTTGTACTAACTTTCCTCTGCTCTATGATGTCACTTCTGCCAACCTCACTGGACAAACAGTTTTTATTTTTTCATTATCATAGATTTGACTTCATATAAACAATTAATTTTAAAAAATCTATACAAAATACTGCAATACTATGCTGTATCTATTTTTTCTCCCACCCCTAAGTATGAAACGTAAAATGTTTGAGAACCAGAAACAATCTCCTGAAGACTTACCAAATCGTTTCCTGGTCCACCAGTGTGGCTCCTTCATGGTGTTGAACTTCATCTCTGGATGCAGCAGCAGCCTGTGGAACAAGTCGGTCGTGCCACACTTTGGTTGGCCGATGATGTAGAAGAAAGGCAGACAGCGCAGACGAAACAGTTTACCATCTCTCTGGTGTAAATGCTGAAGGAAGTTGGCCCTCAAGCGGTCACAGAGAGTCTTGAAGCTCTTTGAACGCAGAGTGAAGAGGTTTTCCCTGTACGGATCAGTGCCGAGTTCATCTGAGAACTCTTCATACCAGCAAGGGCTCTTGATGCCAGGCAGGAAATGACGAGGAATTACTGAGAACAACTGCAGAGAAGAACAGAGACAATGTGAGTCAATACAGACAGTAGACACTTGGAGAGAAACACTTGAATACGCTGGCAGCCTGGTACAATGTGACTTGTACTAGTAACTACTAATTGAAAGTTTGAGTTTCTATTTTTACAGGAAACAGCAGCCATTTTCACACTGACTTCACAAATTCACTAAAATAGTATCAAAAGCATCTAAAGGCATTGTTGCTGTTTTTAATCTCTTCCCATCTCTCTCTCTTTCTGCATCTCCCTCTAACCCGTCTCTAACCCCAATGCATCTCAGCAGTTCACTGTCTAACATGAGTCAGACTGTGTTCAAGGTTTCTGCCAGTTAAGATTAAGTCTTTCCTCGCTACAGTAACTTGCTCAATTCTGCTACACTCATGTTTAGGATCAAAGTGGATCTGATCTTACAAGATGGGACTCGATCTTATCCCATCTTTATGTTGGGTCTTTGTAAATACTAGGGATGGGAATCACTAGTGGCCCCATGATACGATATTATCACAATACTTGAGCCACGATACAATATTATTGCGATTTTTAACATTTAACGATTTTTGTGCCCTGATTGATTGCATTCCTCATGTCTTTCCCCAGGAGCTGCTATATTTGTTGCACTAACTTTCTCCTGCCAACCTCACTGGAAGAACAGTTGAATTTATTTTTCCATTATCATAGATTTGACTTCATATTAACAATTAATTTGAAAAAAAACTGATACTTGGTAAATGAGACAATACGATATATCACCAGACAAAATATTGCAATGCTATGCTGTATCCATTTTAAATGTAAATATAAATATAAATTTTCATGAGTAAATATCATGAAAAATGTGTTCTAGGCCATCTCTTTTTATTGAGTATCTTGAGATAACATTAGTTGGGAATAGATGCTATATAAAGATTAAAGATTGAATGTGTAAAAGCATGAATGCCATTCTGGAGCTATGATCCATACACCAACGGCCATATGGCCTCTGAGAGTGAAGCATGCAGATACTTGTTTAACGGAATAAATAAAAGCAGTAAAACTCGCCACACAATAGCCAGTAAGTTCTGGGATTAGTCACAGAGAATATCTTATGCCCTCTTTGCACTATTTTCCCATCCTAAAGCATGTTGAAACATTGGCAGACTCAACTACCAAGACTAAAAACATAGACCAGAAAGTACACCTGGCATTGATAAACAAAGGAGTGGTTGGGACATGCAGTTTAAAGTGTTTTGAATGGTTTGAGGACTACAAATGTAGTCTTTGCTCATTTACAGTAGGTATCTCTAACAGTGACACACACCACTAATGGATATTATCCTTGCTGACACGTGTTTTCACCGCTATGATCACGAGAATTGCTGATCTCTATACATTAATGCCAAAAACCTACATTGGGTACGATGACAGCAAAAACAGGAGTATATATAGTACATTAGCAAAAAGCAGTTGCAGTAAATAGGTCTGTGGCAACACTTAGCGAGACCTAGCCTGATATTATCTGAACAACACCAAAGACATGGTGTTGAATCATCATCACCTCTACCAGCTTCAACAAACAGCAGTCATTATGAACTTCAGCAAACAGGCATTTACAGCAGGGGTGATAGGGAGGTGTTTGCTATTTGTCAGCCTCCTACAAGTCAGTTATGTCATCAAAGAGAAAAGCAATAATAGATGTCTCTTATTTACATTTTTCAGAGCAGACTGAATCATCTTTTTCAAGCATATTTTTGTCATAGTTAGGATGAAAACACTATAATTGCAGCCCTTATTTTTTTTGGTTGGTCTATTAATGTAGAAAAATGAGTCATGCTGTTTTTTGTCTCTTACATGGGAGTCTGTTTCAGTGACATCCTTTTCATCCGGCACTTTCCTGGGTGTGTATTCCAGTTTGGAGCGGATGACATTCACCAGCAGTTTAATGTCTATTAAAGTGTTTTCAGAGGAAACATGAGCTGCAGCTGTGCAGGTCGGGACAAACACAGGTCTGAGTTCAACGGGTGAAGGGGTCAACAAAAGTCCTTTCCTGTCCCACGTCAGGATGTATGAAGCCATGATGAGGAACATCAGCGTCAGGCCCATCAGGAAGCTGACCACTTTGACTTTCGAGATGCTCCGAAGGTTGGGTAGTAACAGCCAGGGAGCAAACTTTAAATCCAGGGTCTCAGGCAGGTTTGAGTGCCTGAAGTCCAAAAAAGTCCTGATAGGCTTTCTCCCGTAGTTCTGACCCATGGGGAAGGTGTGAATGTAATTGTAGTCCATTTGGGTGTTGCTCCCATGTTTGTACTCTGTTCGTGACATACTGACATAGAAGCACAGTCTGTATGTTAAAAAAGGAGCCAGGAAGTTATTTTTCCAGAGCGTCATACACAAGGATATGAGTCCTGAAGGGTGCAGTCGTCATGGTTTTTCAATCTGCAGGTCATCATTTACCTTCAACATGCTCCCCAGACTTCAGAAGAACCTCCTGTGAATAAGAAACAGTTGTTATAACACGCTACATGTTTTTTCTTCTCACCAAAAAAGAAACTTTTTCTTTCTCTTTGAAGTATTTCAGTCATCTCCCACATTTCTAAGAAAGGTGGTATGAACACTTTTAATATCAGGGTATTTTTGGAAGCTTCTTAAGGCCATCTGGGGCTTCACTTAATGAATTTTTAACGTGACCCTTTATAGCAGCGCATTTCACCTGTATAATGTTGGCGGTCAGCTGTAGAGTATGTGTGGTCTGCTCAATGGAGAGCCCTCACTTTATAATGAGGACCTTAAAACACGTGCAAGGACAAGCCTTACCAAGAGACTTTCAAGGTCAGAATAATAGTTTCTCTGTAATTCGAAACTAAGAAAACACATCATTATCCCCTTTAGGGAAAAGCCTACTGAGAGCTCTGTTTTCTTAACCTGGAAATATCATTTTCAAGATCAAGGTTTTTCACTGAGAACTGAGCAGAGTATTGATACAGGTGGACACTCGGTGTGGCAAGAGCAGGCACTCTGTTTTCCTTTCCCACAACAGGAATATGAATAAAGTCATTATTATTCCGAGTCCAGGGCTCATAAACTCCAGATTTGTAAGGGTGAAATGTTCTTAAAGCCCACTCTCTGACACTTCCTCAGCATTTCTTTTTGATTTGTTACAGGGAGTTTGATATACAGTCCCACTGGAGCAGGAAATGAAATCCTGAACCAGTGTAAGGAAACTACATGGAGCACTCTCTTATTTTACAGTGTTTGTTCTGACTGCACGTCGGGGGCCTGTTAAAGAGAAGCATCAGAAACATGAGGCCACTAAACATGCTCACACTCAGACTATTAAAAGCACAAATCCAGAGTATAATGATCTGAATAAATGTAATTTAATTTCAGAGTTATTGAGCTACTTTGTTTTCCATGACAGTAATCAAAACAATGCTCACAAAGAAAGAATGAAAGAAAGAAAGAAGAGACCCAGATTGCAAAGATTGTACACCCACTCGCAGAAGTAAGTGGCAGGTTGCCATCATAAGTTGAAGAAAAGCATATCTCTGAGCAAAAGTGTAGCTGTAACTCAGAGCACTTTCTTAAATCATTGGAGAATGCTGCGAAATAGATAGAGCGTAAGGAGGTTTTCAGAAAAGATTGAAGAAAGTCGCCTGAGGGAGAGGATGAACTCAAGTTTAGTGAGGTACTGTAAACCAACAGTCTTTCTACTGATACAAAAGTGTAAACATATCTGTGGAGGAATTAGCATCATGAGATAAAGACTGACCAATCCACAGATTTTAGACATTTTGGTGTTTAGTGACAAGTTTAGTGTTCATAATTTAGGGATTGGAATGACTGTATCATATCTTCAACTGTTTTTCCAATTCTTTTAGAAAAATTGCGTTGTGGCAAATGTAGGCTATGATGCTTTTCTGTAGCTTGAAACACAAAAGACTAAAACCCTTGGAGATATGAGTTTTGATGTTGTTTTTGTTAGTATCTTCATCACATCATAAGAAACTTAACTTCAAATCTGCAAAAAAAAAAAAAAAAGTCAGCTTGTTATCACTGTCTGACTCAACATTGTGTTTTTCGGTGTGGGTGTACTTTGGTCTAACCCACACTGCTGACCAATGCAGAACAAGGTATGCAAACAGTGTCAAAATGAATAGGCTATCTGACAACAGAGTTAAGTGTTGAAATTCTCTAAAAGAGGGCCCACACTTGAACCAACTTTGATGTTGGGGTTGGGCTTTTTTTTAAATTAGCTAAATTACGCAGTAGAGCTGACCCAGTCTGCAGCAGTTGTTGATAACCAAGCCTCAGTTTAGGTTCTCAGACTCTGGCTTTTCAACTAAAAGGGCCGAGCTAACCTGAGGCTAAAACATTTATTGTTGACAAGAACCTCAAAAAACACACCTTTAAAAAAAGAAGGACTATCTCCTCTCGAGTTTTGAAACTGATTGTGCAATCTCAGGATTTTTAACACATCATGCTCGTGTGTCTGTCTCCCTGCTGTTTGTTGTAGCTGTTGTTTTTTTTGGCAGCCCACACCCAATCTCCTTAAAAATGTTGTAACAGGTGTGCCAATTTTGAGCTAGTCACTCTAAGTTTTCATCAGTATGGGCTCACCGAGTGTGTGAACGCCAAGTCCACACGGCAGCCTCATGCAATTTCTTCACGAAAATGAGCACAGATAGATTGTTGTTGGTAAAACTTCTGATTTTTGATCCCTCTAGAGGTGTTATTAAACAAATTTAATGAAATATCAGCAGACAGACTTCGGCTCTTTAAAATTCAAATGACTCATCTCATAAGATCAAACCCCAGCAGATTTGATAGTTTCAGGTGTTCATTTTTTTTAATCTGCAAATAATCCTCACCTCACCTTGAAGCATCTTAAATGTTCATGTTCTTATATTCTCTAACACTTTTTAATGATGTTTATGTCTGAAGCCCTTTCAAGCTGTGTTTTGAAAAGCATATCAATGACTACCATGCTGTTGTCTCATCTTATTTCAAGCTGCATATCTTTATTTCTACAAATCTCAGTAATTGTGATCCCCTCTGATCTCTGTAACTAGCGATTTATTCTCCCCATTAAAGATTAATGCTTAGTTCGTGCAAAATTCAGAATGCGAGAGAAAAGAGATTTAGAAATGTGACGGAGGATAAAGAGGACAGTGAGAGTCAAGGGTAGAGCAAAAAGTGGAGAAGTAAAAACAGCAAAGATGAGAAAAACTGTGTGAGAAAGAGCAAGGAAGACAGCCTTCAGACCCCTTTGGTTTAAAAATCGATCCGGGGCAGGGAAGCAATCAGCAGGTGGGATTGACTGAGGTGATAATACATCATCAAAATCCTGCTGACTCAAAATAAAAACCAGCATCAATCTTTGCATTACGCCCTTTTGTTGTCTTACAAACCTGAATGTCAAGTCCGGTCTAGCGTGAGAGCCCGAGTGGTAAATTACTCATGTAGTTGATTGTAAGTGCGGAGTTGTTTACAGTGCGGATGTGTTTATCTGGAATCTTGTAGACTTAAGCTTGTTTTTTTTTCTCAACTGATGGGCTGTGATGTCATTTCTACCCAAGAGCTGGCACAGTATAGTAAACACATGCTCTATGTATCTAAAATAATCTCAACTATGGCTTATTATCCTGCTGCTGAAAAGTTTATACTACTCCTTTTTGATCGATGCAAGCCACTGTAACAGCTTCATCATTTTATTCTGTAGACACCAGTGCCAGGAGTTCAATAAGAGCAGTTCAAAAATTAAAAAGTCAATAAAAGTAGAATTTTGACTTGATGGTTGCACGAGAATAATGACATAAAAAAGTCCATCGTGTGCAAAATTTTGTGCTTATCTTTGCAGATGAAAATGAGGTACTTGTACAAACACAAACATCATTGTTTGGAGGTCTCAAGAGTGAAGGCCAGTAGTAAGAGGCATGACTACAACAGATCACGTGTCTTGGCAATCCATCATACAGCTGTGTAGATACTTCATTCAGAGCCAGCTGTGATATTACTATCAGTGTCTTTAACATTTCCTAACCTCCTAGAGTTATTCTCATGTGCACACATTTGCTTGCCTTCTCTGCAGAGGTTTCAGATCTGGCCAATGAAGGAACCTAATGATGGTCATGTTGACCAGACAGTTGTTCAGTCCGTCAAACACTTGGCACCAAATCAACACAAATCAATATCTGCTAGCTGGATTTTGATGAATTGGTCTCTAGACAATTAGTCCTGATCTGTTTGCTAAGCCCCTGACCTTTCCATTACAGTGCCACTATCAGGCCAATATTCCCTGTTTGTGCAGATACGCTGAAATTAAATGGCAGACAGCCATGGAGTTCAGAGAGCACTGCTATGCTCCCACAGGAAAAAAAAAAAAAAACTTTTTCCATTTCCTTCACTGCGTACTCCTCTTTCCTCAAATGCAGGTCAAAATATCAACTTGAAATAATTTTCAGACTGCTGTGAAATTTTTTGAATCTAGCCAGGCTGATTGAGTTTGATTTGATTCCTTCCAGGAGCTGCTGTTCTCTTCACATTCAGTTTTCATGATTAAAAATCGACTTCTCTTGCCTCAATAACAAGGATTGTTAATCCTCACTTCTCTATTATTCACATACTTAAGCTGTGGTTTTATACCTTTTTAGCACAACCAAAAACTCAAAGTGAACTTACTATGCCCAGTCTCTCCAGAATCCTTCATCCAACTTATCCCTTGACATCGTGCAAACTGAGTGAAGTACAAGCTTGCATAAGATGTTATTGAAATTAACTGCCAAAGTATTTCAAAATAAGTCTTCCTCTTTACACATCAGAGCAGATAGTGCAATCAGACGTGATTGGGACATGATAACAGAATTAACCCAATAAAACCGTTCAAAGGTGAATTCAACAAATTACCAGTAATCAGTATTGCAGCAGTGTCTCCCAACAACATTATGTTTAAATGCAAGACAGTGCAAAATGTCCACTTATATGTTTACTTCTCATGTAACTGTGCTTCTGTCCATGATGTTCAGAAATGACTAGAGTTCTTAACCATTTTAATAGCCACACAAGAGTGGAATTTTCCTTAAAGCACTAACTTTGATTCCTGAAATAATCTGTGTAAATCCCTTCAATGAAAGGACACTTAATAAATACCTTAAGAGGATCAAGATAATTAATATCAATTATTTTCTCAGCTTTTAGGTGACTTTTAGATGGCACTTGTAAATGAAATGGTCAGATATATCAACATTCTCCCACTAGCTGGAAAACTGATCAAGTGAATGTCAAGTTGCACAAGAAAAACATAAGAAAATATGCGCTTGGTTAATATTTATTTTAAAAATAACTATTTGGTGCAACTTTTCTGTGATAATGAAATAAGATTATAAATATATTTTGTAGAAGAAGTTGTATTACACAACCCCTTATCACAGTGTGGTGAACCGCCAAGATTTTTCTCTTTTTCTTAACGTGAAATGTGATCAAGTGATAGTGGTCACATCTCAGTGACATTATGTATTTGTTTCTGAGGCAAAGTTTAACGTCTTTAGATCACAGAAACCATAATGCTAACTGGACCAAATTTTCAGTCAACCAATACCATATCGTATCGTATCATATTGCATTGTACCGCATTGTATCGTATCATAATGTATCATATCATAACGTATCATATTTTAACATATCATATCGTAACGTATCATACCGTAACGTATCATATCGCATCGTATCGTTTGTGGAAGACTTTTTTGAACTTTTGAATAGAAACCTTCAGCTATGCTAGCAGCCCTGTGAGACAGTTAAGTGTAAATTGAGGCTAATGTTAACATGACTGTGATAGCATTGTCAAAAGGACAGTGCAAGAATTCTGTATTGCTTGATCATATAAGTCTTATCATAATTACATAGCTTAATCCTCTGAAATGCTAATATCTGATGATGACCATAAACCTAAGAATGATAAGAATGTCTCAAAATTTGGTGTTGCACCTTGTGATGGTGTTTAAATATTGTAAGGCAGTTGAAGGGAATACAGTTTGTCCTCAGGAGACCAGAATGTTGTAACCTGTAGTTGTCCTGATATTTCAGTCTAAAATGTGGAAGTGTATGGGGCGCTTCTGGTAAAGTCACTAGATTGCAAAAGTCATTAGGATGAATCATCTGCGAACCGACAATATGTTCGGCTGTGATAATCATATCAGTAGCTTGTGGCTGTTACATAGACAAACCATGAGGCTCATTATTTTTAATTGGACCCAGCTGTGCAAATACAACAGCTGTGTGTCAAATTTGGAATTAAACCTTTTAAATACAGAGAAACAATCAGTGCGACCAAACTTCTTGCCTGTGTCCTGTCCTACCTAATTCGGACAGAGAGCATCATAACCATAAATAAAAACTTGATTGCATTTGCTCTCAAATCTCAGTTTTTACATTGGCATGTATTCATCAGTTTGGTTCATTCGCTGAAATTCTCTTTAAGGTGATAAAGACATGCTCCTTACACACTGCCTCCCTGTTGCACGCCTCCTAATTTATGCCTTCCACTTATTATTTGTGAGATAATGATGCCAATCAGCCATGACTCAATCTGTGCTGCAGATACCAGGATATCAACTAAACAGCGAGGGAAAATCTGCCTCCCTGCCGAACTCTTTCAGAGACCAAATGATGCATGCTGTATGTATAACCCTGATTACTGTAAAAAACTATAAATACTACCATGAAATTGCTTTCCCAGTAGGACTAACACCCTGAAATCACTTTCAGAGAAGACACAATCAGTTCCAGAGCCTGAACTTAGGGCGCACATTTGATCTGGCCCCTTTTACAACGTGTTTTAATCATGTCTTCATGTTCAGAACTGTGTAAGCATATCCTGACTTTGCACAGTACACTTTGTGGCCAGGACTTGGCTTAATCCCAGTGCTGAGAAATGGGAGGCACAACAAAAACCAATGCCACAAAAGGAAATAGGCCAGCCTCCCTGTTGACAGGGGGGAGTCGCACAAAGACGGATGGCATACCAAACTGTAGAAATAATAACACTTTCTCTTCTTGTAAGGAACGAGAAAAAAATCAAAAGTCAAGCAATTTGAAGGACAGACAACAACAAATACTCCCCGCTGAGAGGTACCCAGAGATATTCTTTTTTTTTTTTTTTTCATTTTTCTGTTTTTTTTTTTTTCACAGGCAGATTGCAGATAAATCCTTGACAGGAAATCTAACAGCTTCCTGAGGACACACATATCTCAGGAAGCGGACTTTATCACTCTCTGCGTTATGAATTAGTCCCCCTATTGCTTTCTACTATCCTCTAAGAGAATGAGATGAGCTGCTTGATTTGCCGTCACTGAAGAATGATGTTTGCCTTCGCAGGAATCTGACTCCTACATCTGTTAAACAAGCAGGCCACTGAAGAAATAGTACAGTCTAAACAACACAGACGTGCTCTGCGGAAAGCACGCTAACTGTTAAAGCTCTACTTTAACAGTGTGTGACTCAATCAGGCAAGTCACCGCAGTCCACCTTGACATCTGGAGTGCAGCTGTGGTCCTCAGCTCAACCAAGTGTTTGCCCGTGCATGTAAGTGTATACATTTGCATGCATATGTTTTTTCTAATAGCAGCAGGTTGTTTGCTTAAGCAGCACTTTAAAACCAATGTGACATTAATAACAAGCAGAGAACATCTGAAATGTCTGTCCTACTGTTTATGGAGTGTGGGGAGGAAGAAAATGGGGGTCCTGAAGACAAAAGGTAGATCTGAGTTCAGCCCAAGTAGGTGGAGCAGCGTTTGTCACATAAAGGAGTGTTTAATCTTGTGAAATGTGGGTCTTATTTTCAAGGTTTTGGCCTTTGTTTACTCAGCCTGATTAATTATAATGATTAATGGCATCTGGAATGGGGCACAAAAACCTGACAGGACAAGAAACAGGAGTTTTGAATATTGGAGAGATCTTCAAACAGCGCTTTTGCAATCTTATTCAGAGTATTTTTTCTTTTGGATTCTGAGGAAGTAAAACTGGAGTTTGAGTTCCTAAAAACATTGAGTCACAGATTGATTCAGGCATCAGTCAGCACACTGCAATGCTTTAGTCAGAGGACAGGACAGCACTCCATCCCATTCAACAACAGCCACACATTCAATATAAAATGTCCCTCACACTTACCAAGAGTTTGCACATTTGAGTCCCTCCCTAGCTAAGCTTGAAGACTATTCCTGCACATTAAAGCCCCTGTCAAAAACTTTCAGTGTATGTTCCCTGAGGACAAAGCTGTACCCCTACTCTCTTTGCTTATGTTTTCCATAACATATGTCAGAGTTTCCTGAAGGATAAATTCCATCCTGCTTTCTTCTTACAACAAACGGTGTTAGTCTTTGCCTTGGAAAGCACTGAAACTCACTAAATATGACACCTACACAGTGACGGCAACTACAGGCATTAAAAAGAACTGAATGGTTAAATCAAAACTGTCCTTGATTGTCTTCATTTTTTTCAGGAAAAATAAGGCATCAGTACCAGTAAGTAAACGCCAAAGGGCACCTGCCTTGTCATGCTCTTGTGCAGTTATTAACCTTACTAATGATTAACAAATAAGCAAAAGTGTCTTCTCCTCCTACCTGACACTTCTCCTCTTTGAACCAGGAGTACATTTAGCTGCCAAATACACTGACAAAACCTTCTTACAGATAGATCCTGTCAGAGCTGTTCAACTGCCACTGCTTTTGATTTTGTGTGTGACGACCTGGTATAGTAAATCCTATTTGCACACACAAAATACTGCCACACAACACATCGCGGCTTGTTCATGTAAATAGCAGCTCTTAAGAGCCAAAAGCTTCTCACACACTCTATATGGATTTAAGAGAGCTTAAGAGGTAGAACTAAGCCGATGCTTTTGGAAACATATCACTCAAGATTTTTAATCTTTGTTACTGTTTTTTTTTTTTTTTAAATGACTGCGTGGCAAAATCATGATAAATTCACTGTGTGGATCACTCATGATTTCTAAACCTACTTTTGACTGTGAGTACTGCCTAGATTAAAATGCTTTTGTTCATCAGGATAAATGTTTGTCTTGGCTGTAGACCAAAACTGGATGTGATTCAGGGCTACACAGCATGTATGGGGCTTTGTCAATCCAATTTTTTTGGCTGCACTGCATGAACTTTTTGGTTGGTTTTAGTTATTTTGAGATAAAAATTCAGAGAGATTGACTCTAACATTATGTCTTTGTCAAAGTCAACAGATTTAATTTGCAATATGTGTTATTTAGTCATTGTGCCAGAGTGCTGGTCTACAATAGCAGAATAAATCAATTTAATTAGTAATTTACATATTACATAAGTTTCTGTCTGTGTGATACTTGCAAATTTTACTAAAACTCTAGCACATCTAAAGAACAGGAGGGTGTTGAAACTACACTTATCAAAAATTACAATGAAAAACATCTGATCTGGAAAACTACTCAGCAGGAAAGTGAAAGTAGAACAAGTGAGTGACGCAGATAAAGTTTGACAACAGTGAATCACCCATTTCAGAACAGACTACTCGTATGAAATAATATGGAACCAATCGTGCATTCTGTAGAATTACTGTCATCTCAAGCTTAAAGCCTCCAGTGCTTGAAATAGAAAGTCGGAGCTGTTGCTGGACCACTTAAGGATCATGAGATCCTCCCACATTCCTAATGTGCTCTGTTACAGAATCCTTTTCTCCCATTTGTGTTTGACCCCCACAGTCCAGTCTAAACAATCTGATATGGTACAACTCTCTCACTTTCCCTCTCCCTTCTCATACTTTCAGCATTACCTAAGACTCCCAATATCACTCTTCGCCAAAAGAAGCATGGCTCTGACATCTTAGCGGCTACACACATTTCTTCCACTAACTCAGGGGGGCAACCCAAAACCTTCCTGTGCCGTTGACTAGACAGACTGCAGGGCTGGGTGTACCAGCAAGTAAGGTTTGGTTTGGGTGTGTACAGAGCCGCAATTTATTCAATTTCCCTTTGGGGATAAATAAAATTCTTCTTCTCTTATCTTATCTTACAATTTGTGGAAAGGCGCTCCAACTTTGTCCTCAATTCCCTCTCTCTCTACCCAGGATTAGGGTTAGGGGTTCTCTTTCTACTCAATTATCAATGAGATACACCCTCAGTGATTAACAACTGCAATGTGCACTGAAGTGGGTATGTCCAAAGGTCATCTGCCTACCTGTCAAGACTTCCACTCTGCACTGTGAGCAGAGCAGCAGTCTTTCTTTTACATCAACATGGAGACAGAAGGAACTAAATGTCAAACAGAAAAAAGCGAGTGCACAATCATCTCCCACTAAAGATGTCCGGTTACGATTTGTTCCTTCCTGATACCAGTCGATACCTTAACTAGTTCTTGGCCAGTGTTGAGTATGCCTATAAATGCCGACCCCCTTTGAGGCAATCAACACTGCAACATGTAACTACAGAGCATTTATTCGGCACATTTAATTGTTGTTAGAAAATCCATTGTATAAGTTTAATAAAAATTGATTTTTCAAAGAATAAATACACATTAGTCTGAATGAAATCACACTTTTACAAACGAATTTCTGTTAGTGTGACTAACTTGTCTCTCTCATGTATTCACTTCAATCAGACTCAAACCAGTCGAAGCATTCTGCGCATGTAACATAGTTTGCATGTTAGGCTTTATCATGGAAGTTCAAAAGGTATACATTTATTGTAGAAAGATGACTGTAAAAGAGACATGATCAAAGATAAGACAGAAAAAAGAAAATGCTGTAAAGTTGTCTGTGGTTTTAACTTTTGAAAATTAACCCACTAGCCTCTTGCTAACATGTTTATTAGTTGTTTTGGTAATGTCAAAATAAGCTAATCAGGCCTTTTACAAGGGGAAGCCTTACTTTTGCCAATAAATTGATTCTCACCTGGTCCAGTTAAATCTCATAGTTGCAGTAAAACCTTAGCTTGACCTAATTGTAGATGTACATGTACAGTTTCATTAGCATTGGCACCTGTACGCTAACAAAACAATTCAGCTAACATTCACTTTTTGTTTGCAATGGTCACGTGAAAATTTGACTAAAATCTGTTTTAAATATATTTATCTTTTCTTGTTGAATAGTGGCTAATGATGGCTTTTTTCATATTATTACTGATTAGGCTGCTGTTTCCAAGACATAATACAGAAGTATTTGCTGCTAATTTATTACGATATTGAATAGTGGTATAAAATGGTGTACTTGCCAATCCCTCATACATAATTAGGAACAATCAGTGATATTTCTGATAGGCCTACTGGTATTGTAAAAATGCTAACCAGCGCATCAGCAGATCCCATTAACTGCTTTTTATCGATCTCAACAATGAGCTGGACACACTTATAGCTTTTCTGTGTGGTGAAACCACAAGAGCACCATGGTAGGAATTGGTAAAGGGAACACTGAATTATAAGGTGATGAATACAGCACACCCTCGGTTTTAATGGTACAGTAAATAAGAAGGATAGGCAAATCCCAAGATAAGCGTAGCATGGGAGATTATAAAGAGCTACAAATATTTGCATAAGTTCATCTTTGCCTCCTTACAGAGTAATGTTTGGGGTTTTGGAAGACCAAGAGTCTTTTACACCCCTGAGACATGACACTGAAATATTCTGCAGCTGTTCAGTGCAGAAGAAAACACAACCAGAAACAGTCTTCAGGGGCGATTGTATGGATTAGGGGAAACTCATTCGCTCATTTTGGGCATAATATCAATTTGACACTTTTTATGCAATATTTAAAAGAATTGAAGCGTCCTTGTAATAGTATTGGGTTTTACTTGGCCTTCAACTGGATGTTATTACTGTCCTCCAAAGGGAAATTTGTATCACGTCTTAGTCAACAGATAAAAAACAGTTTCCTTCAAGATAGTAGTTTACATAACAAAACTCGATGAGGTGAAATAATTACAAAACTCCGAACATTTTTAGTGTCAGAATAACGAACCAAACAAGATGCGCACGGAAAATAACCTCCTTTTACACCAAAAACTCTTTCCATATCTCATTTTCTGTCAAATCTTGAACTGATAGACCACTAATTTTCAACCAAGATACTCACGCGGACTTGGGTCGGTTTAATCCACGCGCCTCTTTTACAGCCGCTCACGAGCCATGGTGACCACCAATCAAGGCGATGAACAAAGTAAGGCGACAGGTGTCTGTGTGAATTGTTGGCTGAGTTCAACGCGTACGTCTCCTCAGCATCGACCTTGTTCATGTTGACAGACGCCGGCTGGGTTTTGTCGCGGAAATGAGCGACTTTCCGGAGTCTCCATCTGACTGAGCTCCCCCGCGCGCAACAGAGAGTGAAGAGGAGCAAAAAGGGAGGGGGGAGGAGAGAGGGGAGGGAGGTACAAGGATCAGCGAGGAAAACACCAGCAGAACCAATCAAATCCAAATTTCAGCCTGAAAACGCTTTAAGTAATTGGGTTTTCACATGAGAATATGATAAATGAAATACAATTTTTAAGCAAATACAAATCAATGGATATTAGATTGTTTTGCAAGCGTGTAATGCACGAATGGGTTTTCCTGTAACTTTATGGAAAGATAAACAAGGTAGGCTACAGAAATAGTCAGATTTGTCTTGAATGAAAAAATATCATCTCAAGCATGAGAAGCATTATTTTTACAAATCATGCCAAATGAGAAACTTTGTGTATGGATAGATAGATAGATAGATAGATAGATAGATAGATAGATAGATAGATAGATAGATTACCATCAGCTCTACATTTTCTTTTTTTCATTCTTTACAGCACTTCAACCCTTACATTTCTGGATAAAATGTGTTGTAAGAAAGAAAAAAAATCCTCATAAGAGTCAACACTTTGTTCACTACTCACCACTAGGGTTGGGCAAAGAGTCTCGAGCATCAATGGGGACCGGAAGTAACATTCAGATTTTCCAGGAATCGTTCAAATTTTAAAATTTCCATTCCAAGTCCGCCTCCATTCATTTAGCATTTCTTATATATGTCTTTGACCCTAACGGAATAACCAATCGAAGCCCAGCACTTCTAGCCAATCAGAGGCGAAGAAGGGCGGGACCTTCCCCTACCATCCTACAAAAAAAAATTCGCATGCCGGAGTCCGCCGACCGGAAGAAATCGCCGCCGAACACCAACGAGGAAGACGCCGCTTAACACCAACGAAGAAGAAGCCGCCGAACACCAACATGGACTAAGCGTATGAGAAGCTACAGAGAGAGAGAGAGAAGACAGAGAGAGAGACAGAGAGAGTATTGCAACTCACAGCAGCTGCGGTCAAAAGTTTGGCTAACTTTAGCAGGAAGAATGAACTCCTATCTCAGTGCAACATTAGCAACACAGTTCTATCATGCAAAGGAGGACACACTACCAACAGGATTAAACACCTGAGGAGAAATACCTGAGGGCCCGTCTTTGACACATTTCGCCGGACTAACCAGCCAGAATCAGATAAGTGAAACAATGAATTACTTCTATCTTCTGCTAACTTTGGAGCAGCAAACAAATTGTACTTTGTCTGGTGGGTCACCTTAAATATCCAACTAACGTTAGCTCTTTTCATAGACAAACGACCTGACAAGAAAAATTGATGTTTATATACTGGTTGAAAATAGCCCTGTGAGAGATTCACAGTAAAGTTCTTGTAAAAGTTAAAAAAAGTTAATGTAATTATTCATGGGGAAGTTCAGAAATTTCATCCAAAAAGAAGAACTCCAGTTAGCAACCTCATTTAAACTATGCATTTTGTTTTAGATAGCCTGCCTTTTAAAAGAATCAGAATAGAGAATCGTTAGGAACCAGAATCAAAACAAGGAATTGTTCAAAATCAAACGATACCCAACCCTACTCACTGGTGTCCTCAAAGGCCCCAGCAGAAATCAGCAGCATACCATAATATGAGCACCATCTCTCTCAAATGATGCGTTCTGTTTACTTTGGCTGACTCCGATAGTTTCATTTCTATGAACAAACCAGACTCTTTCAAGGCAGCTCTGAGGCCTTGCAATAATAATCCCCATATTATTTAATCTCTGCGTAAATGTTCAACTTTTGTCCATAAAATAATGAAAGACAAGAAAAGATGAAAAGACATGGGGGGAGAGCAGAGTGTGGCCTTGAGCTAAATGCTGAATAGGTGTCTTTGAAGCTGACATTTTACATCCTCTAATCAGACTTTAATGCACAAGGACACCGTTTACTAGTTGGCTGATAGATTTTGATCCTTTTATATTGTTGCATTTAAGTGTTATGCAAGCAGACACGTGGACATGACAAGTCTGTTCATGTCAGCCATTGTTTGAATTGAGTTGCAATGTTTTTTTTAACTTAATGAGGGTTTTTTTTTTGTTTGTTTCATCTATGACTCACCCTACGAGTGGGAGTCAGTGGGGATGTTTCACAAAGACATGGTAGGAGTAAAAATTTAAGTACAAGTTGAAACAAAACCAAAGTGCAGATCTTCCCGCACATGACAAATAGTATTAATCCTTTTACAAAGTACAGGCTTAACTTTTACAGGCATATTAGAGTTTGTCCAGACTTCCAATATGTCACTTTTAAAGGTATGTTAGAGGTATTTTTTTAAATTCTCACCTAATCGTCATTGTTTAGAATAACAAGAAAGCTGTTATCTTTGGTGTCAAGATTCCTGCTCTGTGTCTAAGCCCCCATGATGACCTTGTTTACCCACAGATTTCAAAGCTATGTATCCAAGCGTTTGCAAAAGACAGCAAATGCATTTTTATGTAAATTTTTAATGTGAAAACACTATTATCAACATTGTAATCAAATCCAAACGAGACAACAACACAGATAATGTGTCCAAAACCCCTATTTTATTGTCAATTACAGTTTTAATCAGCATGGATGGGCTTAACTAAATGAAAAGAACCATCACGAAGAAAGGAAATCCTTTCAGTTCATCCACTGCATGAAAAACAGTTTTTCCTCTGATACGTTTCCTCCCCTTTACAGGAAGGAAATTAATTCTGTTGTCAAGAGCTAACTCCCTCGACATTTGTCATGACATCTGTTTCTTGTAGTGAATAAACAGACAAAAAAAATATGAGAAATGCAATGAAATGAAATGAAATGTTGATGGCTGCCACGATGTTCATCTTTGGGGCTCCCACTGGTAGCAACTTATAAGACGTGAGATGGTTCATTTCTGACAAGTGAAAGAGGCTGCCTGTGGAAAGTGACGCTGCTCTATAAAGATAAAGTCTCATTTGAATAAACTGCCTTCCCTTCAGAGCATTTCCATATGCATGAGACTCGCAGTCTAATTGCAGATAATTCCTGTTAAATTGTTTGAGATTTATTCACATCTCACAGAGATGCACAAGCTGTGTGCATCAAGAGAGACGAACAGAAAGATTTCCCTACAGACTCATCTGAATGAAGTTTGGTGGCTTCAAAAGCAGTAGAAGATGTGCTCACGTTCAAACATAGCAGTTAGGGCTGGGCGATATGGGAAAAAGTTTATCACGATATATTTTTCCCATAGCAGTCGATATTGATAAGTATCACAATATAAAAACTGAAATTTACTTGTACTTATTGGTAGCATGTCTTTTGCAATACAATAAGCTACTGCATCTGTGAGGTCTTTGTGTCTCTTTGACATTTTGTCATAAGGGAAAGCGGACTGAATGGTCGGCTGTTTCGGTTGCACAGGTGCCTTGGGCTCCTTGCTCCACTCGGGGTTTGTGACCTTTTGCATTGTGCATGCTCTTCCGCGTGGCACTTCTTCAGGTGGTGAAAAAGATTTGAGGTATTCCCCGACTTTGTGAGAACATGTACTCGACATAATTTGCAGTGCACATTACTCTGCTTCATGTCCGACCTCAAAAAACCAAAATACCTCCACACCATCGACATTTTTGTTCCAGTGTTGTCGACTATGTCGTCATCTGTTGAGCTTTCATCTGCATTTCTGCTGGGGGTGGCACTCATTTTCTTATATATTGTTATTGTTTTATTGTTATCATTTTATTGCCCAGCCCAAGCTACAGTATATCAGTCCTCCATCCAATTTAGTTCAGATATGTTCCACATGTTTTAAAATATCAAACCCAAGTTACTAGTATTAAACACTACTTCATAAACAGTTGGGTGAGGTCACCGATGCTACGTCCAATCATTGTACACTCTATTGTCACAACAAGGCACCTGTAGTTCCCTTTGCAGTCAAACATAGCACATTTTCTTTTGTTGGCACTTCTTATTTCTTTACATTCTTGTTTCATAGAACAGGTGAGCAGGAGAGAAACCAGTCCATCAAAAACTGCTCGAAAACTAACACACATCGTCTAATTGACTGAGTTTCTTTTTATTACCAAACTTTATTTGTGTTGCTGACCTGGCCAAGAGGTCAGCGACACACGTCTTAATAAATAGTAGATGTTTAGATGTTTAAATCAGTATGGATTGAACTCCATGATGAGGGGGCAGCAAGACAAACTGCTCTTATTAGACACAGCCGGTGCGTGTACCTGCAGGTCACAGTGATGAGTGAGCTGTGAACAGGCGCAGTGATAAACAGTATTCAAAGATTGTAAATATTCTCCTGAGGCCTGCTGAAGTAACGGTTGCCATTACAACAAATGTTCTTGCCCTTAGAAGCAGGATCTGTTTCCATAATAAGAGTCTAGCTCCAACCTGAGTTTGGAAACCAAATTTGCAAAGTTAGCTCTCAATTAATAAGGAAACCAAAGTATTGAGAGTATTGGTTTACCTCAGAATGGTAAGATAACATCAGATAAGATGTTCCTTTAATAGCACCACAGAGGGGAAATCTCAAATTTAAAGCAGTATAGTACAGACATACAAAGAGAAATTAAAGGATAAAGAAACTTAACTCTGTTCATTGGTAACTCACAAGAACTGGAGAATAACATGACCTTGTTTTTAAAACCAATCTCAGTTTCTGCAGACGATATTAAACAACATTAAGAGCTGACTTTAAAAACTCAAACGCTTTTGACATCAATGATGAACAACGATTGATGATGGTGTCATTAACATAAGATGATGCACGATTTGTTTGCTGTTATTTGTTCTCAGTGTTTTTTATTTTTTATTTTGCTGTCTTTACTGTGATTTTCTTTTACTTATTAAGAACAAAAACAGCATGGAAAGATGTGTTTTGAATTTTAAATGAAATGCATCCGAAGCACCATTTCATGCAAATACTGATTTGTAACACAAACCCTCAGACTTTCTGTTGTAAAGAGCGTTTGATTGATTGCACTTTTAATGACCTTCATTCTGCTCCAGTTATTGAGCCCACGCAAAGAAAATACTCCTCAGCATTAAAGCACATTTACAATCACAAGTAAT